TATTATTACTATTCTCACTCTGAATTGTTTCTACTTGTCCAGCTTGTCATTCTAAACCCAAATTTTTTTTTATTTTTACAATATTGAATTCTATCTTATCAAATCTCGCACCATGTTATGTAACATTTTACATTCGCCTACTAATCCTATAATTATGTACCCCTTTCCAAAATCTATACACCTTACGTATTATTCTATATACGACATTAATTATTTTACCACTTGACATTTAACTATGATTATAATCACAAATATTTTAATTGTATTTCATACGGCTATTATTATTTCATGTATTCACACCTTTGACCTAATTCCCTCACCGGATATAATTTCTTCAGAAACGATATATATATACGATTGTACAGCTTGATAATAAATTTGTTGAAAAGAGTCTCTTCTTCGCCTAATATTGTTTTCTTAATGTTACAATGGGAATTATTAAAAATATAGAATGTCGTTTAAAATACTCCAAATCAAAAATAGCAGGCATTTTTGTCACACGTCATGTGTGACAGTTTCATGCCATTTTATTTATTATTTTCATAAACAGATGTGCATTTATTATGTAAAAATCACCTTTTTCAAGTGATTGATGCGTTCAAGGTTATCGGTGCATCACAATGCTTGAGTAATTGGAAATTTAACCTCGCCGCTCCACTTCCAACTTGTAGATGACATTCATTAATTAACAAGAGATGTACCCGTTTAACTTAGGGGATGAAACTTACATTTTCCCAACTGATTCTAGACTGTATAACTTGATGCATGAGTGATGTAATTTTTTTCTTCAAATATAAGGAATATTTTTGTCTACACTACAGAAGAATGAAAACCTTTCTTTCTTGCATAAAATAAAGCCAGAATTGGCAGAAGTTGGAATTCATTGCCTGGCCATTGGATTGGGTCCCAGTGGCTTAATGGTCTACGAGCTAGCTCGCCTTGTAACCAGAAGGTCCTGGGTTCGCCCCCTGTTGGTGGGTGCGTACTGCTGAAGAGTCGTGAACTAGACTGAAGAAACAGCTGCCCAGTACTCCCTGATTGGTTTTCCAATGGTTCTCTAACCGATGTCAGCTCATGATGATGTAATCCTGTAACTAAACAATACTATTGTTATATACACCTAATTTTTCTAAAATATTACGCTCATTTTAAAGTACAGTGATGTTTGTATTTTCCCTCAAGTAATGACCTCTGAACCCTATTGATTGTTAACTGATTTAGCCTATCAAATGGAGGCTATTCAAATCAAGGTTATTCAGGCCTATATATATATATATGTATATATGGCTGTTGATCCGAGAAAGCAAAGGCTGTCTACTCAACGATCTGTCTTCTTCCTTTCTTCTTTGTCTTGCCCGTGTCAGTGGTATCGTTTACGGTGGTGATTGTCGTTGCAATTAGTGGTTAGGAGAGTAGGCTCGCAAATCTACTGCCAGTTAGGAAGTCCTTTAGCACAAAAGACTCGACTCGTAAACTAACGGGTTGCCATTTGACGGTCATATAAACTATTTCTTTACGTTCCCAGTGGAACATAAGGCTTCAAGTTTCAGCTCTGAATTTCCAGTATCAGTGGTGTTTCTTACGGGATAATATGGTTGCTGGCCTCACGCCTAACCCTCCCTCTTTACCGGACTTACACTTGCTACCGGCTAGTGTGTGTAGCGAGGTAGGTAAAGGAGGTTTGCCAGATGACGGTCATATCAACTATGGACAACTAAAAATGGCAGGTTGGAATTCTGGTTAAAGCAAAACAAAAGCAAAAGCCAGTAAGTGAGTTAGTTAGTTAGTAAGTGTAAGGTGGTTAACATAAATCAGTCAATTGAAAGGTGTTCAAAGCAAGGATATTTATTACTCTCTCTTCTGTTCTCTTTCTGTGAATAATGATCAACCATAAATAATAATTATAATAATAACCGGATGGTTAAACAAAACAAGACGACAGTATTGTATATATATATATATATATAGATGTAAAAGCAAACGGCAAATTACCGAAATCTTAGTGATGATAGTGTGGTAATTTGCATATTAAGTGAATTAATAATCAGAGTGAATCAAACCAGACTCATTTCATCAATGATGGTGATGATGATGAGTGACCACTACACCAACAACAACAACAACAACAACAAAACACCTCTGGCGAAATATAACATACACACGGACTATCATAACCACCATCATCGATAGTAATAATAAAATAACCAGTTAACTACAACAACAAAAAATGCCGTACAAATATGTGTGTGTATGATTAAATTTAGCAATCATTTTTAGTCATATGAACAGTTGAGCCTAGAGAAAAATCACGAATTGCATGGAGGATTCCATCATGAGCTGACATCAGTTAAAGAACCACTGGGAAACCTGGGAGTACTGGACAGCCAGCTGTTTCGTCCTAGTTTGGGACTCTTCATCAGTATGCACCCACCGGGGTTCGAACCCGGGACGTTCTAGTTACAAGGCGAGCTCTTAGACCATTGAGCCACTGGGACCCAGTTCAATGGTTCTTGAATTCTAACTTCTGCCAATTCACGATGAGGAAGTAACTCATCGAAGAAGACATTACGAAATGGTCGCGCTATGTCGTGAATTAGCAGAAGTTAGAATTCAATAACCATTGGATTGGGTCCCAGTGGCTCAATGGTCTCTGAGCTCACCTTGTAACTAGAACGTCCTGGGTTCGAACCCCGGTGGGTGAGTACTGATGAAGAGTCCCAAACTAGGACGAAACAGTTGGCTGTCCAGTACTCCCAGGTTTCCCAGTGGTTTTTTAACTGATGTCAGCTCATAATGAAATCCTCCATGCAATCAAACAAAATCCCTACAAAACTAATACTTGAAAAATCATAAATAACAAATTTGTAACGCAGAAATGTTTTGGCAAGAGAAAAATTTCCAATCACACTACAGTTTACACTGTTTCAACATGATCACCGAAAATAGAGGTGATTGTGTCAGTTTGTGTTAACAGCCCAACAAGATTCTAGGCACTGTAGAATGTTTCTAGGTTTAAATTTTGTATTTCCTATTGATTGATTGTGTTAAACCGAAATGCTTGGTCTCTCTGTTGACATCTCGGCACCTACCACGGATGCTTCGACGATGATGTCTAAGGGTTAACGTCAATGGTGACAAGCCGAGGGAATCCAGGATTCGGATTTCGTCCTGTTTAGGAGCCATCACAAGTAGATGTATTTCTCGTCTTTTAGTGGATAAAGCTTTCTCATTTGAAACTATGGGTGTACGGTTCGTGTCTTAACAGGAACATCATCACTCACTGGAAATGCAGGCACACCCGGTGGAAGAGTCCCAAAGAGGACGAAGTGCGTATCCCGGATTCTACTGCTAGTCACTACCAACTAAAATAGCTTCACTACAGAACGTTACCCACTTAAAAGAAAAAAAGAAGTAGATGATGAATTTTCAGTTCTGCGGCGGTAAATTGTAAAAAGAAAATTACGGACAGCTCCATTATAAGCACCCATAATTGCAGGAATACTTACTAAAATGACATAGATAGTTAGTTGAAGTGGTGGAAGTCCACTTGTTTCATTTTTCGTTTAATGGCTTCAGCTGTTACCTACCTTCTAAGCTGTCTCCATACGTATAGAACTTTATTTATTCCCATAAACGAAATTAACTGAAGTAAATGGTTAAGCAGATTGACTCTGAGTACCAAAATGTTTTCTGGCAATAGTAAATAAAAGTTAAACCTACTCAGTCAGAAATTCTACAGTTTCAATTTTGATCACGGACTGATGTCAGTTAGAGAACCTCCAGGAAACCAGGCAGTACTGAGTGGGTGTTTCGTCCTAGTTTGGGACTCTTCGTCAGTACACCCACCCACCGCAGTGTTTTCAGCCAACACTTCAGTATATTACCTTAATAATATGTCAACTGTTCCAGAAATATGCAGTCAAAGTAGAATATTCACATATGCTCCTAGCCTCCAATAAAACGAAATGGCATCTCATCATTGTGAATAGCTTCTCTTAAGTTCTCTTCTTTGAAATAGATTAGCTTTAAGGAATTCCTTTCACGCTTTCTATTAACAGTCGCTAAAATACTTCACTATAAGCTTACTCAAAAGCGTACAGTCTTATTACACTTGATTTACAATAGAGATGTTTACGACGAGTGAGTCGTCAGTGTGAGGTTGACATGGAGGAAGTCATGTGAGGAGGAGATGAGAGATTATGGGCAACCGTGGACCCAAATAAGGGGACAGCACCAAATAGAACAAAGTGGAGAAATGTTGTTGAAGTTCTATGTTCCACTCAGAATCCATGGGAATAGTAATAATATAATTATATATATACGTCTGATTCTACGATTTGTGTAAATTTCGGAATACATCATTAGTTAAATATTGGTCACAAACGAACATAGGTTAGAGAGATCATTGAAAACTAAGGACCACTGAACAGCTGCTTTGTCCTATTTTAGGACTCTTCATCCAGAGCATGCCCACGAACCCCACCAGGCATCGGACCAAGTTCGTTGAGCATTCAGTCACTTGGGCTGAAATTCAATGATCCGTGAATTCTAACTTCGTCAAATATTCCTAGTTCTAGAAATCTAACCAAGAACCTGGTATAGTGTACTGCGGAAAAGAATTCCGAAACACCAAAAAGAAACCCTACGTAATGCACAGAAGCAATATGAAATTTAAAAAAATGCGATTTTTCATCTTTCAAACCTTCGTTCAAAATTATATTCGAAATATAAAATCACACTACTAACTGACAGTAGTTAGTAGTTTGAATAAACTTTCAGAAAAAGCGTTCACTGGAAACAATACGTAGAATTTTTCTTAGTAATTTAAACACTTGAAATAAATTCAACCATCTAATAGAAGATGTCTAACATCTCACTAGAAATCATACAAGGATTGACAATACTCTTCTCAAATAGATAACAATGAATGAATCAATAACAAACAAAATGAGCACGAGCATTTTTGAAAACAAAACAACAACAAAATGACATGGACATACCAGAATCTAAATCTCGTGCATTAATTTTTCCAACCAAACTTCCTAGTGGTGCATCTTCTGGAATAGCATTGATTTCAATGGCGTCGAACACTGGTGGATTATCATTCACATCCAATACAATAATTTTTAAATTAAATGTACAACTAAAACCTTCAGGATCTGATGCATCAATAATTAACTCATGTTGTTGACTCATTTCAAAATCTAATGAGCCATTTAAAGCCACAGTACCATTACGACTATTGACGGCGAAAAGATTTGATTCTGAGAATTTACTAGTATATGTGATCAGGGAGTTCCGTGGATCTGTGTCAGCATCTGTTGCATTCAATGTGGTTAGAATTGTACCCAATTTCATATCCTCAGGAACAGTTAGAACACGATTGGGCTTTTATTAAAAAAAAAGTGTGAAAAAGTAAAACAAAACCCATAGAAGTGAGGGGGAAAACGCACATTGCAAATAAATAATTATATATGTGAAATATTTATTTGATATGATATGGTAAGGTTAAAGAATAGTGACCTAAGAAGGGAACGAAGACACCAGTAGTCTCGAGATGATCAGTCGCTGTAAGAAAGCAACTCAACTCTGACTTAACCAGATATTCTTTTTTAATATCCTTTCACTTCTTCCACCAATTTATCGTGTACGTATTCATCCCATATGATGTCGATTTCTAAGCAAATCTTCCATCTAACCTAATACATTAGGAAGTTAAGACAATCAGGAATCACTTAACCTCTACCTTTCTTTTATTCCTTTACGTTCCCAGTGGAACATAGGGTGGCTTCAAGCTAGAGGCTTGAAGTTTCTGTAGCAGTGGTGATTATTTTTACAGGATAGGGTTGCTAGCCTCATGCCAAGCCCAGCCTTCCCTCTTTACCAGTCTTATTACTGGTTTACCGAGGTAAAGGGGTGCGTCGGTGGCCGGGAATCGAACCCCGGACCACTTGCGGCGTGGTCGGCGAGCACTCTACCGCCGTGCCACCGACGCACAACCTCTACCTTTACAGTTTATTAACTCGTGTATCTTATCTATTGTACTTTACTGCTCCCCTTCCCGCTTTAGTCTTTCCCAGGCTACTCAAAAAGGACTATTTCATACTGCGAAGGGTATTAAAAGTTGTCAGTAGGGCAAGTGGTGTGCCACTTAGTCACAACCTGTTACTACAGTAGTCGACAGACACACCTACCTGAACTCATATGAGAAATGATCTAAATGATCAATACTGTCTGACTCTGAGCATCCTCTTTATTTCACAAATCTCCCCTTGCAGCTCATCATCAGGTAGGACTCTATAAGTCACTATAAAAGATTATATACTCGCACAACCAAGTACGCGCACTCAACGACTCCATATTTGATCCGCGTCCTATGTGATAATATTAAGCGTGAAACCTAAGACTTGCTATATTATTAGAAAAATAATTTGCTCTTTTATCTTCTATTTGAAATCTGTAGTAACACTATGTCAATTAACTTATGATTTTAGCTATTAACATTATCATAATCATCATTTTACACTTTTTGTACACTTTTGACTTTATTGTCACTGTTAATACCAAAAAAGCTGCTAATATCAGTCATGTAGTATTATTTTTTAACTTTTGTTTACACTTTTGTCGAGTAAATTAGATGCAATATTGTATCAAATGATGGGAATTCCACATTGTATCATAAGTACTGTTCAGGAATAAAGCAAATTATTATTTATTATTTGCCTGGTTTCACTAAGTGGCTCCGCTTGCGCGTTTCTAGCTCATTCATTGGTGCTTTCGTTGCCATAGGTCACTAGTTTTTGATTTAGCATGATATCATCCAGTGCTCTGAATACTAATATCACTTCCATAAATAAGGAGTAGACCATGATCCTTCAACAGCACATCACCATTTTACCCTGTTGTCTGAAGTCTTTTATCAGCTGGCTCCTTGATATCCATAAACCTTTAGTCCATCTGCTTCTCACAGGATCTCCACTATATCACCGCCAGATCAACGCCCAACTTGTCACTTTCCATTCGGATTCCACTCGACAGTGTGTCTGGTGCACGATGTCACTCAACAGTTTCTTCAGCGTGTGTCCGCGATCCGTCTCCATTTTCTTCCACATGTTTATTGATCAATAGATTCTTGATTGGTTCGCTCCTAGAGTTATCTGTTGCTAATTCTTTCTGTCCATCTCATCTTCAGTACCGAGTGAAGACAGCTATTGATAAGAGTCTGCAGTAACCTGTTGGAAATGCTTTTCGTGACGCGCCAACTCTTCAAACCATGTAGAAGAACTGACCAACTTAACATTAGTGTTAAAAATTCAAATCTTGTTCTTTATGCTGACTGGGTGTAGAAGACTTCCAAATTGATTTCAGATTGATGAAGGTCTGAATTGCCTTTCCAATTCTGGCTGGCTGGCTTTGACATCCCCATAACATCGGCAGTACGCACCCACCACAGTGGGGTTCGAACCCAAGACCTTCCGGTTACAAGGAAAGCTGGCTCGTATACCATTCAGCCACTGGGACCCGATTCAATGGCCATTTCATGAATTCTAACTTCTACCAATTCGTGATTTAGCGCGACCCCAACCATTGTCGTTGGTGGTACATCCATGCACACACGTGACATCTAATTGGACCTCACTGGTCACGACTTCTCACTAGAACTCCAGGAAACTCCGTCCTGTAGTAAGTCACTAGCGAGCGGCATCAGATTAATTTTCTATAGTTTGGTTTATAAGGGTTAGTTATGTTTTTACGAGTTGATCACGGACTGATATCAGTTAGAGAAACAGTGGGTGCGTACTGCCGATGATTCCCAAACTTGAATGAAACAGCAGCTATCCAGTACTCCCTGGTTTTCAATGGTTCTCTAACTGATATCAATCCGTGATCAACTCGTAAAAACATAACTAACCCTTACAAACCAAACTATAGAAAATACCCATAACATGCCGAGTGTCTGTCGTTGAAATTATCCTGTCTAGATAAGTGAAGGAAGTTAACTATTTCAAATCTCCTCCATTGATACTGATTGGTGCTTCGTGTTGTTAGACCATATATAAAGTATGAAAATAACATGGTTACTAGACACACCTAGACCCTTAGTAGACGAATGAGTACTTTGAAAATGCCTTATTTATGCATATAAAGAGGGATATCAACCTTTGCTTCATATAGCTACATTCAGTCAGTGATAATTTAGCAGAATCAACACAAACAGATAAACAATAAAAGTAACGCACACACACACAAACACAGTCATCCATTTCACTTTCTGTTCACAAAATATAATGCACTGGTATACTACACATTTTGAAAGTGTACACACACATATATATCAAGCACTCAGATAGTCTAGCTAGTCCTCATCCAGAAGAAGAACATCTTATCAATCAGACTCTCTGTGAATCAGTTTCCGTTTGCAGGAAGTTTGAAAGATAAAAGAAGAGTGATAAAAGATTAAACAAATACACTAATAAGCACAGAAATCTATGAATACACGTCACGACTGTCAAACATGGCTAAACCTACTTGTATACAAATCGGTACATTGTCATTCATGTCTTTGACCACAACACGCAGGACGAAAGTATCTTGAGTAACAAACTGCCCATCACTGGCTTGAAATCTAAGCACATGCACGGGTGTCAGCTCTCTATCCAACGTCTGACGAAGATATAAAGCACCAGATGGTTGAATATAGAAATAAAAACTATTTTCACGAGAGTGATGCGATGATGGTTCATTGATCAGGTAGAATCGAGGCTTGGATTTGACTTCCTCATCTAAATCTACAATATTTAACTGATAAATAATTTCTTCTTCTTTAGATGGCCACCAATTTTCTAGAATCTCGATTTCATCTGATAAAATTTGACGTTTTCTTAAATCCATCGGTAGAATAGATTCGAATGAATCATTTTGAATTGGCGATAGAGGCCATAGCGGTGCATTGTCATTGATATCTTTGACGAAAATATGTACTCGGCTGGTATTCCAATGTCCATCAGCATCCATAGCCATAACCTAGAATGGTATACAAAAAACATGAAAGTTTGTTACATGTTACTTATTAAAATTTCAGTAGCTAAAAACACTTGTCTAAAAATACATCTAACAAATCAAATTCATTAGATTACAGAAAGCTGCACTAGAAACAGAAAGATGATAAATGGGTCTCAAAAATCTCAGTTGAAAATGATCACGATTGAAGCATTGAAGATAAGATAGGTTAAATTTCAAAGATTCTGCTGAGCACCAAAAGGAATAGCTTTCACAACAAGTTTTATCTACAGCTTTATTTAATACTTAATATAATTTCGTATTACCCGTTGACACATCGGCTACTGGTAAGGACTTTTCAAAGATGTCTGAGAACTAACCTGTTGTCGTCTTATAGATGGTGACTGTTAGTAGAGTCCAGGATGTTTATTTGCGTGCTAGATTGGAGTCTAAGTGATGACACATTAGGGAATGCAGCTACATACAGCTGACAATTCCCTAACAGGAAGAAATATGTATCCTGGATTTCACTGTCAGTCACTATCTATCAAATTATCTGAAACTACTCATGCTTACTAGCAGTTCGCCGAAGTAGCCAACTAAAGTTTGACTGGTCGGAACTGATTTTGGTCGTCTGAACTGAGTTAAAAATCAATTACTCCGCTGATAAGTTCAACCCCGAACGAACAAAATAGATCACTTTGATCTGACTAGCAAGCACTAGTTAGTGGTTGATGTGAACAGTATCCAACTACCCATTCAGTCAGTATGAAGACAGGTGCTAAAAATATGACGTTGAAAGAATGGTGGAATGAAATCTTAGCGGAAAATCCCAACAAAGTTAACGCGACTACACATAGAATTCGTAATTTTTAAGATTCAACTATATAAAAATAAATATTAACCGTAAATGATTGGATTGGTTGGAGGATTTCATCATGAGCTGACATGAGTTAGAGAACCATTGGAAAACCAGCTGGGAGTACTGTACAGATGTTTCGTTCTAGTTTGGGAGTCTTCAGTAGTCCGCACCCACTGGGGTTCGAACCCAGGACCAGAAGGGTGAGTCCATACTAACGAAGAGTCCCAAACTAGGACGAAGCAGCTGGCCAGTACTCCCTGCAGCTTTTCCAATGGTTCTCTAACTGCTGTCAGCTCATGATGAAATCCTCTAACCAATCAAACAAAAAAGTCCCCTACAAAACCAATACTTGAAAATGATTATATTGACTATATAATATGTGGTAGATCCTTCCTTCTAAGAAAACATTGACTCATAGTAAAAAATTCGATACAAACCAGAACCTTTAAGGAGATGCAATTTCATTAATCGTCTGATTATTCAGAACCAATACTTACTTACATTCTTTTCAATACAGAGTCCACTAAAAAAATAATTTAGTTTATCTAATACTCTGCAATGAGTGTCAGGTCATATACACATAGGCCAAAGTAGTAGGAAAGGGTCAGTTAGATAAGCAGAGCACAAAAACCTAACAAAAAAATCTGGATTACTTGACCTTAATAGGATGAGAAATTTAGAAAATAGCCCACCCATAGCGCTACACACGCAGTTAAACACAACCATACAATACATAGGATGAGATAACAAGGTGACAGTCTTAAAATCTACTATAACATCTAGGACAAATAAGGAAGGAAGAAAGATAACTACAAGAAAAGAAAATCAATCAATAACATGATTATGAGCTGAAGAGTCCCAAACTAGGACGAAACGGCCGTTCAGTACTCTCAAGTTTTCTAACGATCCTCTAGCCGATATCAGTTTATGATGAAATCTTGAAATTAATCCTTAGATTGGACACTAGTTAGTAATTAGTGTAATGTATGCAGTCCTTTGTTTGCTGTAAACTGAATTGAAAACTTGACTGATAGAATAAAGTCTGCACCAAAGAAAGGGCCAGACTAATTACACTAATAACTACCTGGTGTTCAATCTAAGTATTAAAGAGAGTCCTACAGTAAGTCAGTCGCGAGCACGAATAACTCAGTGGTAACATCTCTGACTACAGGGACTAGGTGACCCGATGATTCGAATCTCAAAAGGGGCATGAGTTCCTTCAAGGTTGCAGACATGCCGTCCTGCCGATTGTCCCCAACCGTCTAATATCAGTAATGAATCCGGTTCAAAACTTCGTCATCTTGCAATATAATACTGTTTCACTATGTATGATATATCCAATAAACAAACTAATATGGAATTTAATTTCGGCAACACTAGCTGACATCAGTCAGAGAACCACCGGAAACCAGCAAGGAGTACTGGACAGCTGTTCTGTCCTTCTTTGGGACTATTCAACAGTATGCACCCGTGATCCCATCGTTAGAGATTGAACCCCCAAGACCTTAATAATATGGAACTACATACAACCACAATGACCAAACGTTTTAACACACTTATATCAACATACACAACAAGTTTCATCATACCGATAATGTTAACTTTTTACATCCACCTCTAAAATATCCATTCAAAAAACAAAAAAACATACCCAAAATACATGTTCACGACTCGATTCAAAATCCAGTGGCGCCAATAATGAAATCCAACCTTGTGAATCAATTTTAAACTGTTTTCTCAATGTTTGTAATTCAGGATTGAATAAAATCAATTTCTCGAGGCGAACACGTTGTTCTTTTAAATTACCACGTATACTAAGATGTTCAGAGGCAAGAGTTGATATTGGCCATAGAGAATAAGTAATGATATCTTGTTTACCGTCAGCATGCGTAACATCTTCTTCAACATCACCATCGCCATTACCACCAGTGGTATGCGGATCAGAGTTTTTGCTGCCGATGCTGCTGCTACTGTCACCAGTGTTATCACCATGACAACCAAGGCAGATATCATCGTCTATAGCTAAAGTCCGTAGAAATCTTACACCTAATGGATAATCTTCCGGTATGTCTATTCGATACCTAAAGAAGATAAAAATAAAAGCAAAACTGAGTGAAAATTACAACAACAAAAAAGGCAAAAGATAAGAGAGGGAATGAGCGAGAGAGAGATAGAGCTAAGTAACACAACATTTAACAATTGACATGTCTGATAAAAACAATCAACAAGAATCTCTTGGCTGGTTAATTGTTTTAATCCAGTGAGTGAGTGAGTGACGTGATACACAAACTGGAGGAGATGAGAGTAAAGTTATTTCTCTTTTTTTTAGAAAGAAAAAAAACTTTTATAATTTCCTTATACATATATATATATATATATATTTGCTTTTAATTTTTTTGATTGAATATAGCCTTAGGGGTTATACAACATCACGAAGAAAAGCGAAGAAGTAAGTTATGGTTGAATAGTGGTCAACACGTATAAAAATGGTCAAATAGCGTGTCTACCGACCTACCCACCTACCTACCTACCTTCCAAAGGAACGCTAAACTAACGAAGAAGAAGAAGAAATGAGTCATTGAAATAAGAAAAATATGCCCAAAATGGTTACTGTGGTAAAATGAATAGTATTAAAGGGAGAATGGCTGGGTGGCCGGCTGGCTGGCTGGCTGGATAGGAAAGATGAGTTATTGTCGAATTATATGATTACTCAAAATAAATCTTTTACAAATGAAAAACTTGGATTTCACTCGATTATTATTATTACTATTTTTCACAGACTTGATCCGAAAAGAAAAAACTTTTAAGCATAAACAACACTCAATCAACCACTCACCCACCCACCTACCCACTTCTCCCCAAACCCACAGAAAATGAAAGCAGATAAGTAGATATAAGACAAATGGAGAGGGAGAGAGTTCAGTGTAACGAAATTCTGTCTGACATTCGCGACCAGGAAAATATATTTTAATGTGACAGAGAAAAAAATAAGAAAATGAATTCTGACGTAGGTAGTAGATAGAACAAAAGTTGGAAAATTATTATTATTATTGTTCCCTTGGGTTCCTAGTGGAACAAAGGGCTTCAACTGCAAGTCTCCACTTGGTTCTGTCTTCTGCTATACTTTTCACTTGCATCCATGTTAGTCCATACTGTTTCAACTCCTCTTCACACGACCTCTTCCATGTCACCCTCGGACGTCCGACTCGCCGCTTACCTTTCGGGTTCCACTCGAGATATGGCCAGACGCGAAATGTCACCCAACGGCCTCCTCAGCGAGTGTCCAATCCATCTCCACTTTCTCTTGCATATTTGTTGGGCGATTGATTCTTGTTTTGTTTGTTCCCATAGTTTCTTGTTGGTGATTCTTTCCGGCCATCTGATCTTCAGTGTAGAACGAAGACAGATGTTGATAAAGGTCTGCAACAGGCTGTTGGAAATATTCTTTGTGACCCGCCAAGTTTCTGATCCGTATAGAAGAACTGACTGACTTGACGTTTGTATTGAAAATCCGAATTTTGTTGTTGATGCTGAGGACAGGAAGGTGAGAAACAATGGCCACTACTATTACCATTACTACTATTCTTTAAGGTTCCGAGTGGAACATCGGAATTCAAAAGCACTTCATTCGACTTCATTCTGTCCTCTGCAGTCCACCACTTTAGCTGACTCCACAATTGGTCATATGCGCTTTCCTTTCCTCCAAGTCGCTCAACTTGTTGCTTCCCATTCAGGTTCAACTTGAGGACTGGCTTTCTGCTTCATGTCACTCAACGGTCTCCTTAGCGTGTTTCCGATCCCCATCTCCATTTTTCTTCAGCATATATGTTGGGCGATGGGTTCTTAGTTGATACGTTGTTGTAAGGGTTGTGTATGTCGCTAATCCTTTCAGCCCGACCATTTGACTGTCAGTGTATGGAACGATGTGGGTCATTGATGAAAGTCCGCGACAAACTGCTGGAAATACTTTTTGTGATACGTTCGCCAAGTTTCTGAACCATATATAGAAACAGTGACCGACTTGACATTACTGTTGAAAATCCGAATATTGCCCCCCCCCTTCCATCATGAGCACATTAGGTTTACACACTAACTTCAGATTAAGAAAGGTTTGTCTTCCCTTTTCGATCCTGACTGCCTTTGACATCCTGATCCGTGCCTCCATCTGCAGCTATGAAAGGATGCTGTCTAGATGAATGAAATAGATGACTCCCATCAAATCCAGCCCACCCACCCCCAACTGATAGTGGTTGCTGCTTGTTGTTATTGGTGACCGAAAAACTTGTAGAGTTCCCTAGTTTGCTAACCGATGTTAAGCCAGCAGAAAAAAAGAGAATGGGAAGGTTGAGTATAGAGCCAGTTACCGTCTACCTCAGAAAATTGACCCAATCGCTTCTAGGAACTTTAATGCACAGGAAAAATATATATATAAAGTAAACCTATTGCTAATGTAAGTGTAGAACTTGGACACTGTGGCAGAATGTAATTCCATATTAGATAAGTTTATTTGGGATATCACACAGTGATGCAGAATTAAAAACCGGATGATGTTTCAAGCACAAATTATTGTTCACATACACGCTTTCACAATCTGTCCCATATATACTCTCTCTTTCTCTCCCTCTCTTCCCCTTGTTGTTTGTTGCCACTTCTCATATCTTCAGTATGAGGCGTTGAGTCATTCCGACTGAGCGTATGCAGCGTTAAGTCGATAAACAAAGATTCAATGTATCTCCACCTACACAAACTACAGACCTTCATTAACAGCTGTCTTCACTCAATACTACTCAAGATCAGATGGCTGGCCAGAAAAGATCAGCAACAGGGATCTCTGGGAGCGACTCAACCAGAAACCGATTATGCAACAAATAAGCAGGAAGAAATGGAGGTGGATTGGCTGGCCATACTCTGAGGAAACCATCAAGTGACATCACTAGACAAGCCCTCGACTGGAACCCTAAAGGAAAGCGGCGAGTTGGTCGTCAGTGCAAGGGTGACCTGGAGGAGGTCATGTGAAGAGGAGATGAAAGCATGTGGGCAGACCTGGAGTCAGGTAAAAACTTTATCAGAGAACCGAACGCAATGGAGACGCACGGTTGAAGCCTTATGTTCCCCTAGGAATTAAAGGAAATAATAATAATCTCCACCTAACTTTATGACTTTGTAATACACACATTCTGTCCCAACCTATTTTGTGATTACAACACTCCAGGTTATTTAATTTAGCAGGGTAAATCATTCTAGGTCTAGTTAGGTTTTTTATGTTCCAATAATCGAATTTGACCCTGATCTACTAGTTTGAACTATGCGCGTAATTGACCTCACTAACAGTCATTACATGGTATTTGATGGTAAATTATATTATTTTCCTTAATTACTGTTATCCTTTTACTTCAATGCAAAACGTCGCCGTTGCTCTAGGAACTTGATTTTTCGTGCTCGCTGGGGTACATCTCCCAGTATGGCTAAGTAGTGTAGTTAAAACTATTAACAGTTCGATACTAGACCACCTGGTCCGAACCGGCTACAAAGCCAGTGTGGAAGAATCCTTCTCTATAATCTACCGGTTGCCTAATAAATTGCTAAAATCATCGAAGCACCGCATGCTCCAAACAGCAGAGGCTATTGCAATTCGCCTCAAACAACCAGTGCTCTGTGTGCAAAAGAATCAAGTCCAGCCCCTACTATTGACCTGGCAGGCCTTCAGTAGAGACTATAAATTCAGGAAGTTGTAATATTATCTTTCCTAATTTTTCTGAGATTCAGCTTATTTTATGTTGTTGCTGTTGAGCTGTAATCTATCAATATTAGTGATTCGATGTTATTTAAACAACATTAATGTTGTTCATAACACTAATTCATTCATTCACTATTATGAATGGATATATAACTGTAGAGCCTGATGATGAAGTCGTTATCGAAAAGAGTACTCTTTGTTCAGTATCCATTCTTTTAAAACAATTTCTCATAGAAGTGAATAAAGGATAATAACAACTAACTATGATTTTAAAACAATTAGTTCACCCTTTATGAATTTAGACAAAGTAATAATAAGACGTAATTTGTCTGAATCATGTAATGCTGTATTTACACAACACTCATATCGAACAATCTGATCATACTCACGGACTTGCATAGGAATATATAATAAAGAGTTAAGAGGTGAGAAGATAGACTTAGGCCAAGTTGAAAGGACATATTGAAGGTCAATCTAACAATGAAGATCAATCACAAACTAAATAACAGAGGTAATAATACAGCTGCCCAGGCTGGTACCAAAACAAAGTTTACTAATTTGACATTAGTCATTGCAAATATATGTGATGACTACTTACATATTTCTATCGATAAAAATGTCCCTGGACAAATTACCTTCAAATAAACTGACTTCAATTTATCTAAAAAAAATATTTGACTGTATATTTTGATGATTAATAAAAATCCGAATAAATCTGCTGAAGAAGCTGTGGCAGCTTACACAGCGAAACGTTCAGAAAACAGATCTTGTTTTGATTGTTTTCTTAAACACGCTGGGATTAATTTAAATAATTTATAATGAATCAATCTGATTCGGTGCTCAAATTATTCCAGGAAGTTCATAACACCTACGGTTTGGAAAGTTATAATCTTACCACGGAAGATTTAGCGTAATGCTGGATTGTTGTTTTGAAAGCATAAAGGTGGCTTAAACTTCATAATAGCTAGCTAGGGCTTCCACAAACTTCGGGATACATCCTCCTCAAACACGTTTTATAGATAGGTTTAAAAGATGTGTGTAAACGTCAATTTTATGTCCTGTCTCTACACTATGTTTCGCAATAGAGACGGGAGCTAGGTCTCCTGTTCTCAACGTTCTAGGGATTCTATTTACTTCTGGAGCCATTTAACTTGACCTAAATTTATTTTCTCATCACTTAACTCTTTATTTATTAATTTCATATACATATTCCTATGACAAGTCCATGTGTGATCAGGTTGTTCGAAATGTGTGTTGCGCAAATACATTACACAATTCAGGCAAATTACGTCTTCTTATTACTTTGTCTAAACTAACTAACTTATGGTAGGGAATAAAACTTTCTTTTTTACGAGTTGATCACGGACTGATATCAGTTGGAGAACCATTGAAAACCAGGCAGTACTGGACAGCCAGCTGTTTCATTCTAGTTTGGGAATCATCGGCAGTACGCACCCACTGGGGTTCGAACCCAGGACCTTCCGGTTACAAGGCAAGCTGGCTCATACACCATTCAGCCACTGAGTTGAAAATATTTCTACGAGTTACTGCAACTACTTTAGCTATTTAAGCCACACAAAAATAAATAGTGACACAACATTTGTTGGAGTATCGCTCAGACACACACACAAATAAGAGTCGATGAGTCACAACATTTCAATTTTCGTTTTTACATCCACGCCTATTTGAAAGAACAAAATATAAACAATATGCCAGAATGGTTTAGCAATTCCTATACTCCAGACAAAAAATGTTAGTCTTGGCAGCGACTACAACATGTATTTAAGTCGTCTAAATGCATTCACGCTGACACACACACACACACACAACTAGAATACGCGCTTATAGCAACATGACCTGTAGGCATAGTAAATAAATTAATTGTCCATAACACGAGACAAAATAAAACAGAAATGGTGTCAATATTGACACACACACACACACACACACACACACACACAAAGAATTCAGCAACTGGTGGTGTTGAAAGAAAAGGGGTATTAGGCTTTGTGTCGCGAATTTTTATCACAAGTGGTTAATTCTTTGTAGTTATTGTGTTATTGTAGCTGTAGTTGGTGTCATTCCACTACAACTGTATTGACAACCACTTACCACTACTAAGCAGCACACCACTTTATACCCTATAGTCATATTTTTAATAATGAAATGACCTCAATTTAAAATGAGCTACAGCTAAAAGGTCAAAGGTCAAAGCTACAGTTTTAGCCTATGTGGACAGGATTAATGGACAGATAGATAGATAGATATAGGCTTAAATAGTAAATAACATATGGATGAGAATGTGACAGCCTGTGTTTCTTCAAGGTTATCAGCGTTTATCATTAGCATCATTCATTTTTATTAATGTTCAAGGCTGTTGAAATGTTTTCCAATCGAAATGCAAAAAGAAGTATAAATAAATAAAAGAATCGATGACTAACTAAGTGGACCAGTGATTCATCCACAACAAACAAAGAATGAATAATCAAGTTTTCTCATCAGCTGTGCAGAGTTACACACACACATATATAGTAAACAACAGTTTTGAACATTATTTGCTATTTGTTAAAGGCCGTTTTGTGGCACAATTGGTCTGGTAGATAAGGCTTTGATGGGTGCGGAGATTGCAGGTACATCGAGTGACGAGTCCCAAATAGGACGAAACGCCAATTCCTGCATTCCATTGACAACCATCATCCACCAAACGCGGAGTACTGAACAGCTGTTTCATTCTAATTTCAGATTCCTCAACTGTGAACATCCACCACCAAGGTTCCAACCCAAGACCTTCCGACTACAGGGAAAGCTCGTAGACCATTCAGTCACTTGGACTTAACTCACTAGTCCCCTCTCTTGAGATTGATGAGATGAAACCAGTCTGACTTTCTTTATGATCATCGGGTAAAACCTACCTAGACTTGTAGATATCCTTGTACTTGTACGCACAGCCTCTAATCTTCCAAATCATTGAAGACGGAAAGCCGTGCGAACATATTATCCGTTCAAATTCACTTCACCAAGCACCTATTCACCCATGATCAGTTCTTTGTGTGTGTTGTTTGCTCCTAGTAATGTTTGCTATCATTCATATTACCCATTATAATTTTAATGTCGCCACCCGACTTGGGTTTATTCCACTGTCGTTTGTAGTTGTCTGTAGGATTACCCTGTCTTCTCTGGGTGGACGTCGTTTAAAACATTGTAAAGTTGTAACTTCCCTCGTGATTTTAGCTGGACCACTAGGTAATGTAATCGGCGAGTATTTGTTCCCACGCCCTACCTTGTGGACATTTGCTGGTGGTTGTGCTAAAATCATGAATTGGTAGGAGTTAGAAGTCATGGACCATTGAGTCGGATCCCACTGGCTAAATAGTTTATGAGCGCACCTTGTAAATGGAAGGTCTCGGGGTTCGAACTCTGGTGGTGGATGGGCGCTACTGACGAGCCCGAAATTTGGGTGAAACAGCTGTCCAGTACTCCCCGCTGATTTTCATTGGTGATTCTAACTGGTGAATAAGTGTCAAAATAACTCCATCTTGTTTAGTTTAGACGTACGCTGATTTGTTGGCATGTTAAACTATTATTTCATTAGTATTCTACGTGTAAATCTTTACGATATGAGGAAGTGTAGGATGAGAGGTAACCGTCAGGAATGTATGCGCCATTACACCACAAACTTTACGTGATACTGCAAATCATAGTTCGCAAATCGATCACATATTCTTAAATACATTCATATGACTAATTCAAGTCAAACTTTTATTCGACAGTGTCAGTTGTTAAAGTTCTCTGTACAAAACTTGCATAAATATGGCTCAATCAAATGAGACCCGGGGTTTATCTCCATCTATTTCTAGCATTACACAGTAAGGGTCATAGTCCCTTACCAATTAAGCATATTGAAATAGTATATTAACAAGTCTAAATGCCTATGAAACGAAACATTATTTTTCAAAAGAATGGATACTGAACAAAGAGTACTCTTTTCGATAACCCCTTCATCATCAGGCTCTACAGTTATATATCCATTCATAATAGTGAATGAATGAATTAGTGTTATGAACAACATTAATGTTGTTTAAATAACATCGAATCACTAATATTGATAGATTACAGTTCAACAGCATCAACATAACAATAAACTGAATGTCAGAAAAATTAGGAAAGATAATATTACAAATTCATGAATTTATAGTCTCTACTGAAGGCCAGGAAGGGTAGTAGTAGTAGTGGCTGGACTTGATTCTTTTGAACACAAAGCACTGGTTGTTTCACGTGAATTGCGATAGCCTCTGCTGTTTGGAGCATGCGGTACTTCAATGTTTTTGGCAATTTATTCGGCACCCGGTATATTATAGAGAAGGATTCTTCCACGCTGGCTTTGTAGCCGGTTTGCACCAGATGGTCCAATATTGAACTGTTAATGGTTTTCACTACACCTTTACTTAGCCATACTGGGAGATGTTCATGAACGAGCACGAAAAATCAAGTTCCTAGAGCAACGGACGATATACCTCGCTCCACAAGCAGCGCAGTTGAATTGGTAGATACGAAGGAAAGATGATTTTGAGTGTGTAATGGTTCAGTGGTAGAATGCTTGCCAACAACGCCTCACGTGGTCTAGGGTTCGATTCCCGGTCACCAAAGCACCTTTAAACTTTGCCTAATCGATGGTAAGCTCGGTAAAGAAGTAAGATGTTTAGGTATGAGGTTAGCAATCCTGTTCCGTAAAAAAAGAAAAATCACCATCGCTGCTGAAACTTCAAGGCTAAAGCATGACCCCCCCTACGTCCTATTCGGAACCCAAAGGAACTAATACAAATAATGACTACAAAAAAAGGAACTTACACAGGTGAATCAAAATACGGTGAACAATCATTGATATCAATTAATTCAATTCGTACAGTTGTACGCAGAATAACAGCAGGTTGATGATGATGATGATAATCGGCCGCTGTATGCATTTCCACGCCTAATTCATACACAGAATGTGTTTCATAATCCAATGGTTTCAATGCAAATATCTGACCCGTCTGTGCATCAATTCTAAACAATGTTGTCGTCTGTTGGCTTAGTTCAATGCTGCGAATATCATTCATCATAGACAATTGTCCATTTGATAATGATAATGGAGAGATATTAGTTAAACGCCAAGAATGATTCAAACTGGCCGGTTTAACATCACATTTACCCACTTGACGATCAGAGAGAAAATCATCCTATGAAAATTAAAGAAGAGATTAATTTAATTAATTCAATTATATTTATGTTTAGAATAACTAGTAAATTTATGATAGGAATGCAGGTACGTTCAGATGACAAGTCCCGAATGCGCATCCTGGATTCCACTGCTAGTCACCATCCACCAACTAACCTCTAATTACATGCCCAGACATCGTCGAAGCATCTGCGTAAGATGCCGACATGTCAACCTGAGACCGACCACTTCGGTTCAATCAATCGACGGGAAAATCTAAAATTCAATTAAATAATTAATATGACCCGTTGCACAAGAGGTGGTTCTCGTGGCCCTTGTGGTCTAGTGGATAACGCTTTGGCGTTTGAAGCCATGGCCACTGGGTTCGAGTCTCGTTGGTAACATCATCACTCACTGAGGAATGCAGGTACACCCAGTGACGAGTCCCAGATAGGACGAAATGCGCATTCTGGATTCCACTGCTAGTCACCATCCACCAATTAAATTTATGATAGGAAGTAATGATTTACATAGGTAAACGAAAGTCAGGAGTGTGAACATAAGTACCTGAACGCTATCGCGTAGTATTTAATCCGTGTGCAATTGACGCGTCGGTGGTTCATTGGTTGAATGCTCGCCAACCACACCTCATTTGGTCCGGGTTTGATTCCCGCCTGACTATACCGGTAAACCTCGTCTAGTTTACTAACCGGTAGGAGGACCCAAAAAGCAGGGGAGGTTGAATGAGAAGAGAGCAGCAATCCCACCTTGTGAAAACAACAACACCGCCGCTACTGTAAGATCAAAACCCGCCGCCCTAATCCTATGTAGACTAACATCGGTTGTCGAGGAAGGTGGAGGCTCATGTCCTAGCGATTGACTTTCTCTCCTCACCTAACACCCTCGACGCCTAACCTCCATATATCACCCATCATGTTATACCATTTAATAAGGGAGACAGAACTCAAACACCTATGATCAAAGCGACAGCTATCATATCTTCCACTTTCAATGGTCATATGTTTCACAGCCATAAAAGAGGACAAGGTGAAGTACTGCGCAATATACGCGTCCTTTCATCGATAGCCGAATATCACATCTACACCAAAAATGATTTAATTTGGCAAATGCCACCCGATACTTTTGTATCAGTGCTGAGATTTCGTCAGCAATCAAATAAGCGAAGTGGTCAACACACTCTATTACTTCACTACCTATTTTAATGCTAGGAGTCAATGTAGTCCAGTCTGGTAACATCATCTTACATCTGATAGGAGTGAACAGCATTCCCCACACATTCGGAGATTTCTGCTCAAAGTGTTCAGAAGACTCTGCATTCTGTCAGCATCATCACCTAGGAGGATAATACCATTCTCGCATACTTTAAATCGACGAGACTGTCCCCTGGTAACAAGTAAACTCTAAGTCTCTGTCTCTGTCTGGATTCAACATAGAACTTGGCACCGAAGTGTAGCAGTTCGAGTTACCAAATAGCACACAAAGGTAGACAAGAAAATGAGTGAAGGGAATCAATAGAGTTTTCACGAGTATAAGAGTGAAACAGAATGAGTAATGGTAGAAAGGAATATGAAAGATTACACAAGAGACTGAATACATCTGCGTAAGCCATTGACAACGATTTTGAGCCATGTCACCTATTGTCTCCAGCCATTGATTCTTACAGTCCCGAAGGCCCCAACCCGGTAGTCTGCATCTCTCTACTTCTAAGTCGCTGAAGTCAGCTAGGGTCACAATTCATGTATCATCAGTTTGACGTATTAATTCAACGCAATGAAGTACTCAAAATAAGAGTTAACAACACACAGAAAGCAACAAGTACCAGAGCTTCACCTAGAATGAACAAAACAACAACAACAAAACTTACCTCTACTAAAGGTCTAGATGAACATATAATTTCTGGTAAAATTGTAGACGATTCACCCGAGAATCGAATATTAATTTTCACTGGACTTGAGCATAATATAGCTGAATCAGCATAGACTGGTGAATCACACGCTTCAACTAGTAACTGTTGTTCAGTATCTTGAACTGTACTAGGTGACAAACGTGTATTCAACAGAAGTTTGCCTGTAGTCGACTCGATTGAAAATCTTTTCGATACTTCTTGACGATAATGTTTCATAGAATTAGGTGGATGAAATATTCGATAGACAAGATGTGCATTTTCGTCAGTATCAGCATCATATGCTTTCAGTTGTAGCGGTAAGTAGACAGGGAAACTTGTCTCAATCGATGGTGGATTGTACATTGAAGGCAATAAAGTAAGCTAGAATATGTAGATGTAGGTATTAAGAAAAAATAAAGGGGAGATTAGGAAAAACGAAAACAAATTAAGTTTAACTCGATGTTTTCATGTAGAGATTAACCTCACTAGATTAAATACAAAAAAAAAAATAATCAAGGCCTGATTAATGAACAAAAGAATATTCTTCTGATAACTTCTTTATCAGGTTATACAATTATATTATTATTATATTGTTTCCTTTAATTCCTACAGGAACATAGGGCTTCAGCCGTGCGTCTCCATTGCGTTCGGTTCTCTGCTAGAGTCTTCACCTGGCTCCAAGTCTGCCCACACGTTTTCATCTCCTCTTCACATGACCTCCCCAAAGTCACCCTTGCACTGACGACCAACTCACCGCTTCCCTTTCGGGTTCCACTCGAGCAATGGCTTGTCTAGTGATGTCACTTGATGGCTTGTTTCCTCAGAGTATGGCCAATCCATCTCCATTTCTTCCTGCCTATTTGTTTCACAATCGGTTCCTGCTGTGTTGGTTCGCTCATTGCCAGAGATTCCTCCCTGTTGCTGATCTTTTCTGGCCATCTGATCTTGAGTATTGAGCGAAGACAACTGTTAATGAAGGTCTGTAGTTTGTTTGAGATGCTCTTTATGACGCGCAGTGTAAGTCTCTGATCCGTATAGTAAGTAGCACTGACTTCACATTGGAGTTGAAAATCCGGATCTTATTTTTGATGCTGAGTGCTGTTGACCTCCACACAAACTTGAGAGTAGTGAAAGCTTGTCTTGCTTTTATATCCTCGTCAATTCCGCCTGTAGTTGAAACGATGCTTCCCAGGTAGGTAAAAGAGGTTGTTCCTTTCAGGTTCTTTGTAACATTGTTTAAATTACATTGAATCAATAAATAGTATAGATAGATGATTACATTTCAAAAGTAGCATCAATAAGAGAGATAATATGCTATTAGATAGTTGGAGGCAATCGGCCACAGGAAGCCTTGCTTGACCTAGGTTTCGTGCTAGTTGGCACTCACTCACCAGTCAGCAAGGCGTATCTGTAACCTTGAAGGAACTCATGTCCCTCCTGAGATTCGAACCCGCGTCACCCAGTGAGTACTGCAGTCAGTCAGAGACGTCACCACTGAGGTATTCGGGCTCGCGATTGACCTCCTGTAGGACTGTAGTGGGTATTTTGATTGGACACTAGTAACTAGTGTGATGTGCCTAGTCCTCCTGTCTTTGGTGCAGACTGAATTCTATCAGTCAGGTTTGCGATGTGTCCACCATTCTAGGTAGCTCGCCATCACGGTGCACATTGATTTGATGATATTAATCCAACATTAAACTGACTGACCATCAGATAAATTAAAGAAGATAAGACAGAATTAATGAATTTATAGTTTCCGCAACGGGTCATGGTAGCAAGTAGATAGTGGCTGGACCCGCTTCTTTTGAACACAGAGCTCCGGTTGTTTTAGGCGAGTCGCAATGACCTCTGTTGTTTGGTGCATTCGATACCTGGAGGCATTTTGGAAATTTAGTTGACACATGATAGATGACAGCAGATTCTTCAATACTTCATCCTGTATGGACGAGGTGATCTAATACTGAACTGTTGATGACTTTTACTGCACCTTTATTTAGCCACTGGTGTCCCCGAGCACGGCCCTAGAGCAATTGAATTGATAGACACAAGAAGAGATAGCTAGTCTAGGTACTACATCTTTCAAGTGAGGAATCACAACCGGTTGTGTGTAAAATGTAAGCTGGAACGGTTTTGTTAAATTGTTACGCTTTGTGCGCTATGTGGTCATCGCTCTAGGAAACTAATTTTCCGTGTTCTGGAACACGAACACGGCTAAATAAAGGTGTTATCGAAACTACATATACAACACTCTTCAACTAATGGTTTTCAGCGTCTCGAGAACCCCCCTCCACAAAACAAGGAAGTCTACACTACCCTATAAGGCTAAAATTGACAGTCAAAAACCTTATACATTAAATGCCATATTTTGGTTTGATCACCTTTCAGCTCTTTTCCAACTTTTAATCCAGACAACATTACTCAACGATGTAGGCATAACACAATATCCTAAGACATTTCCAATATGAGTATCACAAATGAGGACATTACAGTTACCAAATATGAGATTCTTTGGCAGGATTACATGAAACAGGATTCGAACCCAAGACAAGCTGGCTGAAAATTAACTTTTTATGCCAACGAACGATATGATCATCATTATGAGAAGAGGAAGAATGCGAAACACACAACGACCTTTTAAGAGGCAATAGGAGACTTCTAGGTCATACATTTTTTTATTCCTTTACATTCCCAATGGAACACAGGGGGCTTCAAGCTAGAGGCCTGAAGTTTCTATAGCAGTGGTGTTTATTTTTACGAGATGGGGTTGCTCGCCTCATACCCAACCTTCCCTCTTTAGCAGTCTAATTACTGGCTTGGCGAGGTAAAGGGGTGCGTCGGCCGGGGATCGAACCCCGGACAACATGCATGGCTGGCAAGCATTCTACCGCTGTGCAACCAACTCACAGGTCATACATAGCACAGCGTATTTCATATGTCAACAGATAGGAATAAACACAAACAGTAGATACCAATTCTACCATAACAATCTCTAGTATGCAATAGTGTGTCTGAGCTGAAAAAGAAATCCGCTTCATTCAGTATAATGTGAAAATGGTGAATTACACAGAATAAAGAAATAGTCTGCTTATAATGTAAAAACACCAACGGTATACTGAATTTTATATCTTGGGAAACAAAAACACAATCAATGTAGTAAAATCATTAATAAGGGAACAAAAAAAAGCCGAAGAACATATTTTTCACACAGAAGTATATAATGCCTAATTTACTGGGAGATTCACACGGACACATAATTTTCCAAATTCTGACTGCTTCTCTCTCCCTCTCTCTTTCTCAATCTACCTAATCTATCTAAAGTTACGAAGTTATATAAAACTTTCGTCCATCACATCTTGATCACAGGAATATCAACCTCATAATCTCACGAAACATCCAAAGAAATTCCGCCATGGGAATATATACAGCAGTCAAACTGTATGTGTATCTCTTATAGTCATAATCAGTAACCTATACACTTAAGACATGAAAGAAGATAACTAAAGTCGGAAGACACCCGACCGATAGCTACTTCCTTGGCGTGGTGGGTTGGACTTACATATCGCCCGATTACCCAACGAGCTACACTGGCTGGAATTAATGTTCATGTCAGGTACTATCATGCCTGAAAGGCCGTTTGCATAGAGGACAGACTAAAGGCAGTAACCATCGTTTACACAATATTGAGGGTATATGGATGAAGGGGAGTGACAACAGTAAGGTGTTGTCCTCAGACGACAGGTTATGTAGCCTCTCCACTCTGAAGATGATCGATGAGGGGTTAGAAAAGGTCGACCCCGAAAATTTTATATCTCGATTTACCCTCCATAGTAGTGGGCAGCAGGTAGGAATAACAGCCGCCCACACACTTCCAAAAGCTTTCTTCATCATTCTTGAAGACAGTTAACTCTAGATAGCTTATTTTATCACTCAATGAAGAATAGTAAAGACATAAAAAATACTAATATTACCAAAAACATTATATATATTCAGTGAAAGTAATAGGAATATAAATGACGCTAAAGCAAGACTTACTTCATAGTTGACTTGTCCAAATACTGGTCGATTATCATTCATATCTTTAACTGATATATCCAACTTCATATAATCCGTTAGATCACCGCCATCTTTAACACAAATCAATAGGCTATATTGACTTTTCACTTCTCTATCCAATAGGCGAGCTAAACGAATGGTACCTAAAGCGAGGAAGCGGAGGAAGAAGACACAGAAGAATAAACGATAAAGCTAATTTATTTGGTGCATGGTGTCTACCAGCGGAATCCATAGGGATGTGTATTTTGTCCCATCTAGGACCCATCAGTCAGCTGGATGTACCTGCAACAGTGAGACTCAAACGCAGTCAACACCCATCGTTTTTAAACACCAAAGCGTTATCCACTAGACCACTTTGGTCGCGAGACATCGTCGAAGCGTCCGTACTAGAAGTTGATGCGTCAACCGAGGCCGAACATTCCCGTCTAATATCATCAATCAATCAGTCAATTCTTCTACATGGTTAAGAGACCTGGTGTGTCACGAAAAGCACTTCCAAAAGCCTGCTACAGACTTTTATCAACAGATGTCGCCTTCGCTGGCTCCATACTGAAGATCAGAAGGCCAGTTTGGTCAGAACGGATTAGCAACAAGGAACTCTGGCAGTGTAACCAACAACCTATAACCCCCCCCCAAAAAAAGTACCGAAGGAAATGGGGATGGAAGGGACATCTGCTGAGAAAACCGTTGAGAGACAATGATATGCAGGAGATAGTTTAAGGCGGGGGAGATGAAAGCTTACAAGGAAATCGTGGAGCCTCAGCTAAAGAGGACTGAAGAAAAAAACAGGATGAAATGAAGGTGTTCTGTTGAAGCCTGATGTTCCACTCGGACCCTGACGGGATGATAATAACAATTAACAATTAATCAATCTATGGAGAGAAAAAAATTGACTTCAGACAAAAATGACATTAAACTAAATAAACTACTGAAATGGAAGTGACACCTAGTAGTAACAACAAAACCTAATCATTTAAATGAATTTTAGATTTTCCCGTCGATTGATTGGACCGAAGTGCTCGGTCTCAGATTGAGGTGGCTCTTGTGGCCCAAGTGGTCTAGTGGATAACGCTTTGGCGTTTGAAACTATAGGCACTGGGTTCGAGCCTCGGTGGGAACATCATCACTCACCGGGGAATGCAGGTACATCCAGTTAGCTGACGAGTCCCAAATAGGACAGGCGAAATGAGCATCCTGGATTCCACTGCTAGACACCATCCACCAATTAAAACCTAACCATGGTTATCGCTATTACACACAAAAAGAAAAATAATAAAAGATAATCAAAGCAGACAAAATGTGGAGAGAAAAAACTGCCTAGTAAATAAATAGTGAGAAGGTTAATAATAATGTCAATACATATCTGCAAATATTTAACATAGCCAGGGTAGAGAGAGAGAGAAAGGTCTGGTCACCCCATATATGCGACTGACTGTGCCATCACCACTGATCAGAAGATAACAACCGTTTATTATTATTATTATTTCTATATTTCGGATAAATTCATAGCCTTAGGATATGATCTAATCACATAGACAGACAGATATGCACACATACAACACACACACAAACAAACAAATATACACATAGTTATACACTAACAAAGTAATAAAGGAACTTAGTAAACAAAAGGTTTAGGGAGAAAACAATATTTAAAGGTAGAAGGCAGAGGAAATGGGACGACACACAGTTTTAAACGAAATGAGACTAAATCAATAAGATGATGATGATGGTGATAACGTAGTGAGTGTCTCATTCATAGTTGGAATAGGTATGTGTGTGTGTGTGTGTGTCAATTATGAATACTCTCCCTTCTTCTATCAGTAGTCTGTCAATAAACCTTAGTCATGAAACAAAATAAGGAAATTAATGAAATATAATATAAAATTATTTTTGGCGGCCTGTTTGACATCTGGCTACCTTTCTGTACATCTACATATTTGCATCTAATATTATTATTTTTTTTAAATCATATAAATTAACGCATATAGTAATAATAATGCGAGAATTACTCAAAATATTGATGATAGATAGCTGGGGGCAATCGGAAGGAAGCCCAGCCAGCTCAACTGGGTTTTGTGCTTCTTGGCACTAACCAGTCAGCAAGGCGTATTTACAACCTGGAAATCAGATCCGCGTCACCCAAAGACGCTGCCACTGAGCTATTCAGGTTCAAGATTGACCTCCTGTAGGACAGTAACCGATACACAGATTGGTCTCTAGGAAGTAACCAACGTCTTGATGCGTATAGTCCTTGATGTTGGTGAAGACTGATGTTAGAGAGGACGAGAGTTCTTTCAAGGTTGTAGATACGCCCTAAATTTAGGGACTCCTGCCAAAAAGTCAGTTATTATTTATTTACTATTTTGTTTTTACGAGTTGATCACGGATTGATATCAGTTAGAGAACCATTGAAAACCAGCATTGGAGTACTGGACAGCCAGCTGTTTCACCCTAGTATGGGAATCATCGGCAGCACGCACCCACCACCAAGGTTCGAACCCAAGACCTTCCGGTTACAAGGCAAGCTGGCTGGCATACCATTCAGCCACTGGGACCCGATTCAATGACCGCCAGCCCATGAATTCTAACTTCTACCAATTCGTGATTTAGCGCGACCCCAACCATTGTCGTCGGTGGGACATCCATCCTCACACGTGACATCTGGATGGACCTCACCGGTCACGACTTCTCACTAGAACTCCAGGAAACTCCATCCTGTAGCAAGTCACTAGCGAGCATCAGAAAATTTACTATTTTATTCCTTTGCATTCCGAGTGGAACAAAGGGCTTCAGGCTACAGTTTTGAGGTTGATAGCATCAACCAACGGCCAATTTCGCCTCTCTACCGGACTTATTACCGACTAAGAGAGGTTTAAGAGTGCGTCCGTTGCCAGGGATCGAATCCCGGACCACGTGAGGTGTGGTTGGCAAGTATTCCAATGCTGAACCACCGAGGCCCTATGTAAATCCAGTTGGCAGTAATAAATCATGGTCCCATAGACAAGTTTCGATTTCGAGCAAGACATATCAGAATTCTCAGGATAAAAAATGATACCATTAAACAAAACTGTCTCTTGTATCAAAATAAGAACAAGAAATGCGAGATCAATAAAGAATTAGATTTCCCTTTTTTTCTTTTTTACAAAAAAGATGTTCACAATCTTACCATCTTTAGCATCGATGCTAAACCATTCACGACCATAACCACCAACTATGCTATATGCCAGTTGGCCATATTTACCACGATCTGAATCTTTAGCTGGTTGAATACGATTAACAATAGATCCAACAGTTGTCAACTCTGATATCTCCCACCATTCATATTTTGGTAGATTAAATCTAGGCGGTTCCCAATTACTAGGCTCTAGACTGACTATTACATCACATGTTGTTGAGTGTAGACCATCAGTAACTTCAACCTGGAAATAACAATAAAAGACGGGAAATATAAAATAAAATAAAATAAAATAAATATACACACTTTGTGTAAGTATAAACAAAAGAATATGCGACTAACTAGTAGTGCTGTGTTACACATGCCTAGACATCGTGTCTTCCTCAACGAGAAATGTTAACTGACATAGGATCAGGTTGGAAAAGAGCTAGTGGAGGTCAAACCAAAACTTACAGAGGTGGAGGGTGCCTGGTTATGGTCCTCAAAATGCTGGCAACCAATAACTGGAGACAACTGGTGGTATAGCTCAAAACCGTTTTAAATTGCGAAGATGCATTCAGTCTTTTTGATTTCCCATGTCCACTAAACCCCAATCTTTCTCCATTTTACCATTGTTTCTCCTCCTCCTCCCCCTCAATTTTTTGTTTATTACAGTCCTTTTGAACCCCTTTTTTCTGCCTTTGTTTGTTTCTTGCAATATAGCAACTTGAATTGCTGTAATCCTGTGCAAAGTTCTATGTTGAAACTCAGTCACAGTCACTGTAATTCAGGAGTGAGTAATATAAGTTACAGCGAAGAACAAACTTGCCGCGATTTCGTTTGAATATATATCTGAGTAGGTGGTAGAACGGAGGCGGTCACTTATGATTTGAATTTCCTCAGGTAGCAGTAGTCAGCCTTATGTGTGATTTGATATTGCGTGCTCAGAGAGGAATGCTGTACTTACATAACAGTTGTTATATACCTTTGGGGCTGTTTTAAAGGTGTTTTCTCGACATTTTCCATACAGCTGGAATATCTAAGTGAATCAGGTTTGATCACGAACTGACATCAGTTAAAGAAAACCGTTGAAAATCAGCAGCGAATACTGGACATCAGCTTCGACCTTGCTTGTAACTTTTCAGCAGTAAACACTCATGAACCCAATACCGCTAGGCGTCGAGCTTAGGATCTTCAGGTTATGAGGTGACCTCGTTGATCATTCAACCACAATTGGGCAGGAATCCAATGTCCGGTTCATGAATTCCAACAACTTCTGTCAACTCGCGATTTTTGGCGCTATCGCCAGTCACTGTCATAGGCGAGTGTTTGTCTCCAAACCCCAATTAAACCCCAATGGGTGTGTATCACTGAAGAGTCCCAAACTAGAACGAAACAACTATCCAGTACTCCTCCCAAATTAGTTACCAATGGTTCTTTTTAACTGCTGTCACCTCATAATCAAACCTGTAACCAATCAAATCCCTGAAAACTAACATACTTGAAAACACTAAACTACTAATTGAATCTTTTGTAAGCAGAAAGAAAGCACAGTGACACTTGATTCTTTGATTAGGAAATTAATTAGGTTGACAATTAAAATATCTTCCGTTATTCAGTGGATGGGTGGATGGATGGAAAGAGGAAGAATTCGAGATGAAAGACAACTAAAGTGTATCGATTCTTGTGCTGAACAGACAATATCCCCATTCATTAATACCCATATAACAACTTATTTAATCAACGCGAAACAACACAAAGCCGTATCTACATACCAATATAAACACAAACACACACAAAGACCTTCACAAATGTAGATATCCGATACATCCATACACACTCAACTGCCAACAATCATACACAATCTTGACAAAACGGGGAAACATAGAGATATAGGCAAGACTATAAAATAATCTAGATGTCGTAAGACCTTTTAATTATTAGACGACAACAACAAAACACAAATCAAGGAGAAAACACACTAAACAGACAACACCGACAACAACACAACAAACAAGTCAGAAAACAATTTTGTCATGCCAAAATGAAAAAAACAAACAAACAGGGAAAAGAAATCAAGGTCAGCTTTACCTAAGCTATCAGGATATGATAAAGACACTTAGAAAGAAGAAACACACGACAAACGAAATCAATTTCAAGCGGACATGAAAAACGGACGAAAAGAAACACAAACAAACAAACATAAAAATTAAGAAAATAAACAATTATAAATATTTCTTTCTTCAGCAAATTGAATCAAATAAAAGAAAAAAAATAGAAACAAGGTTAATGAGAGGGTGAGACAAGTAGAAAAGCTCTGTATGACTGACTGACTCATTGGTAAAATAAATGACTCAAACAGAGTCACTTTTTTGAGGAGATTTTCCAAAAAAAATTGACTTTGATGGGAAAAGAGAATAAAGAAATTTGAGAAAACAACAATTGCTGAAAATTCCCTTACAGGAGTGACTAACAATCCCCTTTCATAAAGAAAATTGTGTAAAACTAGCGGTCTAGAGAACAATCAATCAAACTGAATTGGTATTCAGGATTGATCACGGGTTAACATCAGTTAGAGAACCATAGAAAACCAGTAGAGAGTATTGGACAGTTGTTTTGTCCTAGTTTGGGACTCTTCAACAGTAAGTACCTATGACTCCAGTGCTATGAATTCAGCATAGTACCTACAGGTTATTGATCATTCAGCCAATAGAACTGAATCTAATGACTCCCAGATTCTAATTTGTGGAACAACCGCCTACCAATGTCACCGGCAAGTATTTGTCTCTACACTCGACCTCGCGGTGCTCACTAGACATTGACTCTATACGGCGCGAAGTTGCCTGGAGTTCTTCAATGAGAAGTCGTGACCAGTGGGATCCACCGCCAACGACACTGATCGGTGGTGGCGCTAAATATCGTGAATTGATAGAAGGCAGAATTCATGAGCAGGGCATTAGATGACATCCCGGAGGCTAAATGGTCAACGAGGACGTCTCGAAACCTGAAGGTCCTGGGTCTGATCTCTACCGGTGGGACCATGAATATGAAATACTGAGGAGTCCTAAACTGGGATGAAACAGCTGTACAATAACTCCCTAGTGGTTTTCAATTGTTCTCTCTAACTGATGTCAATAATCCTTGGTCAAACCTAAAAACTAACACTTGAATTAGTAATAAAGAAACAATTCTAATGCATAGCAAACTGATGCAACGACTGAAGGCAAGAAATGGTACAAAAGAGTTTCTGATATGAAGACTACACTAAACCAACCAATCGGCAGAACGATATCAGGGATATACTGTTTAACTATGCAAAATCGAGTCTACCGCTATCAGGCGTAACTGTGAGCACACTATCTATCAACCGCTGGGTTTGGGCTTCGATCTCTTCGGGATTTCTAAATTCCATCTATTACATCTATAGGAATGTGGTTAAATCGGCTTAAGCACTCAGCTTTCATCCAGTAGGTCACGGTCTCAAATCTCACTCTATACTTACTTCAAACTGGCCAAATGGATAGAATTATCCATCCATACACAAGAAGTGTGATGTTTATAGTCTGGTAATACATGAAAGACTTGCTTTGGGTAGTTGATTTGCAACACAATACCTAGATTAGTTGATTGATTTCACAACGTCACGCTTATAATGAAAACTTTGTAGGTATGGGTGAGCAGTAAGTTTAAAAAGATTGATCTAAAGACAGGCTGTCCTGTTTTAATCTAATCTAAAAATGATCATTCTGTCTGTCTGTCTGTCTGTTTTCGACATCGAACTTTGCACCGATGTGCAGCAGTTCAAGTCGCCACACTCCCTGCTTGTAGCACACAAAGCAACAGAAGAAAGTAGGAGAAATGCATAATAATGACAGCAAACAGAGCTGTGAGACAAAGGAATAGTAATAACAAAGAACAAAACAGTTTCATTGGATAGTATAAGTCACAGGGAGTGGATGCATCTGCGCTGTCATTGAGAACGATTTTGAGCCATATCACCAATTGTTTCCAACCACTGGTTTTTACCGTCCCGAGGACCCCAACCAGGAAGCCAGTCTACACCTTCCTACGTGACTGGCTTAAACTAACTGTTGTGGATTTCATTGACTGGTGTCATGTTTCGGTTTGACCGCCGCTAGCTCTTTTCCAGTCTGGCCCTATATCAGCTAACATTGCCTGTCGAGGAAGGCGATGACTAGGCAGGCATACTTAACACATGCCCTAACCATCTCATTCGATGTAATTTCACAGCCTCGTCGATTGATTTCCCCTCCCAATTACCTAGCACTCAACCGAAGCCTAACCTCAGTATTGCTCACCTTATTATACCACTTCACAAGGGAAATAGAACGCAGGCATCTATGATCAAAGACAGCTAGCCAGGTTTTTCATGTCTTCCACTCTCTCAATGGCCAGGTCTCGCAGCCATAAAAGAGGCGATGATCATTCAATTCTACCTTGGCTTATAATAGTTCTGAAAACGATATCAATACACTATGCTACAATTACTTAGAGACCAACTCTCCAACCTAGACACGCAGCAGTCCATTAACAACCACCCAATGTTCATAGAGTTTACTGTCCCCCTTTAGGGCATGTAATGTAACAAAATAGTTACGATTAATTGTGTCTCATTCATGTTGATTCATTCACTTGCTCTTGAACAGAAAAGCAGGAAACGTTGTAATCTGCAACAACACTAGCAAAATGACGTCACAGACTCCATCATTTATGTAAAAAACTTTCTGAAAGTAAAAACTCAACTATCAGGCTCGTAAGTGTTCCTCACAAGCAAACACACACATGATTATACTGCTTTCCCATGTTCTTCAACCTCCAACTCCCCACTCCCTTCCCTATCTCCTTCTCTCTGAACATCACATACAGACACATACATTCACTCGGGATATGAATGAGGTTAACAATAATATGTAACACAGTAATGGTTCGTTACATTTCATTAACAAAGAAAAACCCCAGTAGAACAATAATAATAATAATAATATGAAAAACATTGAGGCTTTCGAATGCATAAACATAATCACACACTTTCTCATGAATAATCACTTCTAATAACTACTATCTGTATGTCAGTCAGTATGTATCAAAAAATACGAGTTAGGCGAAGTTAATGTAACGATATCATTCCCATTACATTGCCTAAGTAGTAGTGGTGCTGCACGTTTTGGACACGGTTAGTTATCACAGGGGGAAAGGAACGTACTGTGTTTCATCTCAAGCTAAATTATACCGCTGATAGACATTCCTCATTGTGGTGGACTGGATCGTACAACAGACTGTGAGTGGGTGCGAGAAGACAGGAATACGTTGGACCGTTAAAAAGAAAAAAAACTCTAGCAGACCTACACTTCTCGGGTGATTAGTGCTTAATGTCACACAAACTCAAAGATCTACGGAAAAAAACCCAGCAATAACAAGCACCAATCACTGTCACAAGGGATGAAATTTGAACGAGAATAATCCTTTCCCTTATTCGGCTAGGTAGTATCGTCTCAGCTACAAGCAGCAGCAGCAGCACGGATGAGGATGTCAAGGACAGTCATAATCGGAAAAGCATGACAAACCTTCAAAAACTCTGAAATCAGTGGGGAAATCTAAGGAACAGGATTCGGATTTTCAACACTAATGTCAAGCCAGTAATGTGCTTCTATATGGTTCGGAGACTTGCCGCTTCCGTCATCAAAAGCATTTCCAACAGTCTGTTGCAGAATTTTTATCAACAGCTGTCTTGGCTGACTCCATACTGCAGATTAGATGGCCAGGTAGAAAGGAACTCTCGAAATGAACAAACCAAGAACCTATCGCAAAAGAAAAATACCAAACACACACGCCAAGAGGACCATTTAATGGAACCCCAATGGGAAACGGTGAGTTTAGAGTGTGTCCTAAGGTGACATGGATGTGATCGTATGAGGCAGAGGAGATGGTCATGAAGCCAGCTACAGAGGACTGCAGAAAACAGGATCAAAATGGAGATGTCCTGTTGAAGCTCTATGTCCCAATCGGCAGAACCCGAGGGAATAATAATCATAATAATCTTATAATTATTGTAACACACTAGAGATCTAGGTGGCAAAGAGAAGTTATATTTGTTTTGCAATTAACTGTGTATCATTGGATGTATTCAAAAGTCATGTCTAACTGACTGACTGATTTCAACATAGAACTTTGCACCGATGTGCAGCAGTTCGAGTCGCCACACTAGGTGGAGCACACAAAGCAAGAGAAGAAAGTAAAAAGAGATTCAAAACAGAGATATGAGGCAAAAAGAATAGTAATATCGAAGAACAATATAGTTTCATTGGATATTATAAGTCACAAAGAGTGGATGCATCTGCACCAGTCATTGGGAACAATTTTGAGCCATAGCCCCAATTGTCTCCAACAGTCATTGGTTTTTACCGTCCCGAGGACCCCAACCAGTCAGGAAGTCTACATCTTCCTACGTGGCTTAAACTAACTGTTGTGGATTTCATTGACCGATGAGACCATGTCTTGGTTTGACCACCACTGGCTCTTTTCCAACCTGACCCCATGTCAGCTAACATTGCCCGTGTAACACATGCCCTAACCATCTCAGTCGATGTAACTTCACAGCCTCGTCGATTGATTTCCCCTCCCACTTACCTAGCACTCGACGGAAGCCTAACCTCAATATTGCTTACCCTATTATACCACTTAATACGGGAGATAGAACACAGGCCCCTATGATCAAAGACAGCTAGCCAGGTTTTTCATGTCTTCCACTCTCAATGGCCATGTCTCACAGCTAGCCATAAAGGAGGACGGAGCGGACTTCAAAAGTCATATGCTTAGATTGCTGTACTTTTACGGTCAAATGAGAGAGAGAGACAATAGTCATTTACGCAACTGATAGATTCTTAGAACAAACTTATTACGTTTTAATGTATAACATATGACCACACACACCACCTCACCCCACCCCCCGGCCTGAACAACATAAAATAACATAACAAAATACATAACTTACTTTGATTTTCAATTCATCTACAGAAAAAGTCGACTGAAAACTTGACAGAAAATCATCATCATCACCATCACTGGTTGTAATCACCTCGAGTGGAATGGAGGAAGCATGAGAAAAGACCGGCTTTCCATAGATATTTACTAAAGGCAACCAACGTAATACACCATCATGTTGACCAAGATGAAAATACAACGTTTCATTTTGATGTATTGGCATTATCCTATAGGTTAACGATGCATTCATATCAGGATCAGAAGCAGATAACTGAAGAATCACTGTACCGATTGGAGAACGTTCATTTAATTTAGCATGGTAAGCACATTTATTATTATTGATTATTAGGCACATTTTCATTAGTACCAACTTCGTGATGAATATTGTCAATTGGAGAAGGAGAATTTGTAATTGACATAGAAACTGGTGTGTCAAAGTAAGGTGGATTGTCGTTGAAATCCAAGACATGAATCTACAAAAATATTTGTAATAATAATGATGATAAACCGTAAAATACATTGAAAAACTGGACAGACGAGAAAACATCCCAAACCATGATTGTATGAGGTTCAAAAAATTCTTTGATCAATCCATCAATAATTAATAGAGAAAGTGCCAAACAGACTGTAAATACTGCACGACTACACCGACGTGAATTCAAACAATTAGAACGAATGTAAAGCGTAAAAGTCAGATAGTTCAACGATAACTGACGCCCAGCTTCATGCATAATATAATTTGAGAGTAAATCTCCCTATATTTCCGACAAACAGCATATGTGTAGGAAAATGTGCTGAAATTATGTTGTAAAATAACTATCCGACAGATAGGTACCTCCCATGACATGATCTTTGAGCTGCATATATAGCAATGACTCAAAGATCCATGCTGAATGAAACGAATGCTAGAAAGGTAAGTTGAACAGCAGTTAGAACAAAAGGTATTTACCATTTCCAATGTAAGCTACTAGTATACTATTGTGGGAACACCTGGGGGACCGAGTCCAAACTGCTGGTAGATGAGGGTTTAGTGATAGTAAATGAAGTATCTCCATCGAGAGACCAGTAGGTCAGTTGCCTTGTCCAAGAAAAGTACATCCTTCTAATCAACATACTCTGATCGTATTCATGCAACTGTGTAACAGCCTATGGAGAGTTGTGATTTGACGTGACAACAAGGAATGGTGTCCATCAAGGATGCACAATATCACCGTATTTATTTAATTGTAAAATATAGATGCTTTAAAAGATGTGACCAAGTGTTCGACTTCTATGCATTTCGGGTATTCATCAAGTACACAGTCGATATCGTCCACATAAGAGAAGGCAAAATGGATTCTTTGAATATCTTAAGGGAATAAGTATTTGTGTGCTTTTTTGGAGTTTAGGAATGTAGCTCACTGCCTTTAGCACTTGATTTCAGTTTAGTGGGTCCCGGGGTTCAAAAAACACTCCATTTACTTCAATCTGACCGGCTGGATAGTATTGCCAGCCCACTTACAATAAGTGTGAACCGTAGACTGCAAACTTCACTAAGTCAGTTTGTCAAGTAGGTTGTAAAAAAAAGGTTATATATCTTGTAACTCAGATTGAAATTTCATAGTCCTTTGTAGGTTAAAATCTCTAAAGCAGTCGAATTCAAGTTAATTAAGTTGGTTCAACGGGAGAATGCTCGCCAACCACAACTCATGTCATCCGAGTCCGATTCCCGACTCACTCTTAAATCTCGTTCAGCCGGCAGTAAGCCCGGTAAAAAGGGAGGGTTGGAAGTGAGCCTAGCAACTCAACGCCATAACAAAATAACACCACCTTTACTGAAACACCAAAGCTGAAGCTTGAAGCCCTAAGTTCCACTAACAAAGCAAATGAAGTAAAAAAAACAACTACAGAATTCAACCCTATAAAGAGACCAGGTACACACTTTTTACACATATTGGTGATAATTACTAATATATATATAGACAGACAATATTAAAATGTAACTATGAGTAGTGTGCATCAGTGGTTTACAGGTAGAATGCTCGCCAAATACGCATCATGTAGTTGGAGGTTCGAGTCCCGACCAGCACACATCTTTACCTCCCCTTTGCTAGTTGCAGCTCAGACAAACAGGGGAAACTGGGGGGTGGGTTTAGGGACCCCACCCCGTCAAACTGCCACTGCTACTGGAACTTCAAGCCTATGGGCGTCGGTGGCACAGTGGTTAGGACTTTCGCCAACCATGCACATGGTTCGGGATTCGATTCCCAGCCGACGCACACCTGATATCTACGGTCGGCCTACAAAATTTGGGCTACCGATATCACATGCTGAAAATTCCATACTTGTACCAAAAAATACGGTGTGGAATCAAGCTGTAATCAAAAATTTAAAAATTAAAAAAAATATGTTCCAGTTGGAAGGTAAAGGAATGAAAATTAAAAAAAACACAACTATAAATAGCAAAAAACTCACATATAATGGTACACGTGTTACCAATGGATTGGCGGTCAGATCTGATGCAATAGCCCAAAATAAATATTCACGTACAACTTCAAAATCCAGCGGTTTGGCGACGAAAACCTCACCTGTCTCAGGATCACACTCAAAATGTGAATGTAGACTAGAATCAGGTAGGACACTGTTCAACTCTAAACTGTATTTAATCTGTAAAAAGAAAAGAAAAAAGAAGTTTAAAGATTGTAATGGTTCTTTTAAAAAGAAAAGAGTAGGATCCACAAGAATGAATTAAATCGTTATTTCTTTCAGTTCAATCAATATTTTTAAACGGTGTTACAAGTGTAGGATAAAAGAAGTAGGAACTACAGGATTTCATCATGAGCTGACATTGGTTAGAGAACCATTGGAAAACCAGCTGGAAGTAATGGACAGCTGTTTCGTCTGCCTAGTTTGGGACTCTTCATCAGTACGCACCCACCCACTGGGGTTCGAACCCAGGACCTTCTGGTTATAATGCTAGTGAGCTTGTAGACCACTGAGCCACTGGGACCTGATCTAATGGCCCATGAATTCTAACTTCTGCCAATTCACGACATAGCACGACCAGTACGTCCAGTACTCCCTGTTGGTTTTCCAATGGTTCTCTAACCAATGTCAGCTCATGATGAAATCCTGTAACCAATCAATCAAATCCCTACAAACCAACACTTTAGTAAAGTAGGAACTACATTATACTGTTAGCTAAGTATCGAAATCTATTCCAGCGTAGCCTAAAACAAACACCAAGATGGGGTTACGAAGAGAATACACATATAGTGTTACTGTTCATCAAGAAAGACCCAAAGACTAACCGACTGACTGAGTTTCAAGATAGAACTTTGCACAGAAGTGTACCAATTTAAAGTTGCCATACTTCATGTAAAGGTAGAGAGAAGGGAGTAAAGATTCGAAGTCAGAAGAAGTGTACAGGAGGAAGAGAGAATAGTAACATGGGGAAAAAAAACGAAGGTTTAATAGGTCTGGGAGATTACGAAGAGTGACAACAATCTTTTTTTTAGCCATCAGTAGTCTCAAGCCATCGGTTCTTAGCAGCATCCTGAGGTCCGTCACTAATGTCCCCCTTCCCCGGATCAAAGAGTCACTTTCTTATCTCTTTACGTTGTTGGCCCAAACCTAACTGTCAAAGACTGTGTACATTCACTGTGATTCACATATTCTGATTTGACCACCCATATAACTCTTATCCAATCTAATCCTACCCTATGTCATCAGATAACAATACTCTTGTTCAAGGAAGGCGGTATTTCAGCCTGTACAATAACGTGGTCGTCCTAACTATCTCATCAATCGATATGGAGAGACACAAGAAAAAAAACACATTGAAAACTACAGACAATTGAAAGCAGTATAAATAATAAATAAAGCATATACAAGTGGACTTTTACCAGAGACTTTAATCAATTTTTTTTTGTTAATAAAGAAAAAAGAAAATCAGTTTCAAAGTTTTTTCACTTTGATAAAACAGTCAAAAACTGTTTTATGTTGTTTTTTTTTATCTTCAAAACTATCAAAATTAACTTTTGATAGCTAAAAGAAGAAAAAAAGAAGAGAGACGATTTTAACTGACAGAAGATTACTCGTTCAATAGTTGTGCAATAAATAGATGATGTAATCAGATAGGAAATAAGGAATTAGAGATCTGTCCGTCGCCCTTAATATGACAGTAGAGAGCAAAAAAAACTTATTGAATAATAATAATAATAATAAAGGTAATAAATAGGCCTTGTAATCATGATTTACGTCGTCTACACTGAAGGCTAAACATTAATAGTAAGTAAGTCATACAATCGATTATAGGAAGTTTAGCCTTGAGACAAAACACAAAAAAGTAACCCAATTGACAGGTGTCTGGATGAGACTAAATAGTCTTGGTATATATATTATTATTGTATAAATATAAACTATAAATAAGTTATGTCATAATAATAATGATAATAATAATATTAATGATAACAATGCTATATACATAATAGTAATGATAACAAAAGTAAACATTTGCACGTCAATCAATAATCGAATCATGTGAACACAAAGGCCAAAGTGATACACATATAGTGAGTCATGTGGAAAAAAACAGAGATAACAGTTAATCCCTTGGATAAATAAATTTAAACAAGGCAGTAAGATGACAAATATTGTGAGATGATGACATCATCGTTTCGCAGGGTCTTGACGATCGATTTCCAACTAGCATGGATGACAATTACTCTGTTGGATAAAACAAAAGTACATACTACCTACAAATAACCATTCACATTTTAATTAGTCAAGGTGTTCATGGTAGGCGAAGATTGAAGTCTATTGTTTTCTGTTTGGAATGCATGTGAAATGCCTGTTTTCAAAGGCCCAAGTAAAATTTGCATGAGAGACACATTAATGGATGAGCTACGCCGTATACTAGTGGTTATCCTGAAAACTTCACAGTAAGAAGGCACTACCCCTTGAAAAGACAGCTTCCGTACTAAAGAAAGCTACCTTTATTAAACTATCAAATCATGCAATAGACAACTCAAAGGCTTTTGGTAAGCTAACAAGAGCACATTCTACGCTGCATCTCCTTTGTTTATATTTCACACATTTTCAACTCCTGCACCTATGATTATAGAGTGAAATTCTCTGGATTCTAATTCACACTGATATCTACAAGTTCACATGCATTTGCAGTGACACACATATATAGGTAGAACCAATAGAATGTTCCAACGCCGTTGGGAAGAATATATTCCTAAATGATTAGTTACTGCGTCACACAGAAAATCCAAATGTACTTAATCTGAACAGAAATTAAGGATCATCTCTTACAAAGCAATTTATGAATTAATATCTGGTCACAAAATGAATATTGATGACTGCTTCTCAGTTACTTCGCTAGCTTCGCATATGCCGGTTTACGCCGTCTCTGGCGTAGACGTGATATCCGGCTATCGTCCATAGGGTGGGTGTACTACTCAGCAGTCCGCTCCGTCCTCCTTTATGGCCATTGAGAGTGGAAGATATGAAAACACTAGCTCTCTTTGACCATAGGTGTCTGCATTCAATCTCCCATGTGAAGTGGTATAATAGGGCAAGCAATATTGAGGTTAGGCTCCTGTCGAGTGCTAGGTAAGGAGGGGAAATCAATCGATGAGGCTGTGAAGTTACATCGACTGAGATGGTTAAGACATGTGTTACATGCACCTAGTGATCGCCTTCCTCGACAACGGGCAATGTTAGCTGACATTTAGTCAGGTTGGAAAATAGCCAGTGATAGTCAAACTAAAACATGGCACCAATCAATGAAATCCACAACATTTAGTTTAAGCCAGTCATGTAGGAAGGTGTAGACTGGCTTCCTGGTTTGGGTCCTCGGGACGGTAAACACCAATGAAGGCTCGAGACAATTGGTGATATGGCTCAAAATCGTTCTCAATGACAGAGCAGATGCACCCACTCCTTGTGACTTACAATACCCAATGAAACTGTTTTGTTCTTCGTTATTACAATTCCTTTTGTCTCATATCCCTATCTGCTGTCTCTGTTTTTCATTTCTTCTACTTTCTTCTCTTGCTTTGTGTGCTACATGGAATGTGGCGACTAGAACTGCTGCACATCGGTGCAAAGTTCTATCTTGAAAACAGACAGACAGACTTCGCATAACTCTAATTCCAGGTTATTAATAAAGATGATGGTGGATGCACTTTGGATTGATCACATACATCCCAAACTATTATGTGTGTACAGAAAACAATAGACTTCAACCATTGGCCTACCATGGACTACTCTATTTGACCTACTAAAATATACTCAGTTTTTAGTAGGTAATTCTGTTTTATATAACTAAGTGATTGTAAACTATGGTAGTTGTAAAGGGGTCGTAGAGAAACAATGGAATGATACCCACTTCGCGATATTTGTCTTCTTAATACCTTATTTAAGTATGTACTCTGTTGTATTGCATCGCCTATTATGTAATATATCAGGCATTAAAAGGTGCAGCAAAATTACAAATGACGTTCACCAGCCGCATGTTGTTCTCCTTCTCTGTGAAAGATAAACTCCCCCGTCTGGCCACCTCCATGTGCATCTATCAGTTCACCTGCTCCTCTTGTGGAACAAGGTAAATTGGCCGTAGCCAGAGAACGACGCTTTCCACACGGATAAAAAAGCATATTCCACCAGTATAGTTTTACAAGGGAGAAAGGAAGGGTGTGCGAAGGTCTATTCTAAAACACTTGATCGACTTCAGAGTGAGAATAATAATAATAATAGTAATAATAATAATCGTAGTAATATGCGAAAGGTACATAGAATAACTAAATAAACAAAATAAGTAAATAAATCCCTATACGGCCAAGGCAGAAGTAGGGATGGTACATACTTCTTTTGTACACAAAGGTCTGGCTTAAAGTCATGAATTGCCAAGACCTCCACTGTCTTTAGAAATTACGGATACGAGAACATTTTACAGAATGGTTTTACAAGGAAGAAAGGAAGTGTGTGCGAAGCTCTATTCAAGAACACTTGATCGACTCCTGTTACTCTACCAACCCTGACCATGATTTCAAGATCATCTATCGAATTCCTGCTAACTTGCCGCGTTTGCTTCGTTATAAACTTCTGAAAACAGCGGAGACCTTGACCATCCCTGAATTTAAGCCAGACATTTGTGTACAAGGGAAGTATGTGCAATTACTACTTCTACCTTGGCCGTAGAGGGATAGACATTTATTTATTTATTTTGTTTATTTAGTTGTTCTATGTACCTTTCGCTTATTACTACGACTATTATTATTATTATTACTATTCTCATTTTAAATTGTTTCCACTTGTCATTCGAAATCCAAAAAATTGTTTACAATATTGAATTCTATGTTATCAAATTTCACACCATGTTATGTAACGTTTTATATTAACCTACTGACCCTGTAATTATACACTCCTTTCCAACATCTATACACCCTATGAATCATTCTATATATGACATTAATTGTTTTGCCACTTGACATTTAGCTATGATTATAATTACAAATATTTTAATTGTATTTCATACTGCTATTATTATTTCATATATTCACACCTTTAATCTAATTCCCTCAGCGGATATAATTTCTTAAAAAAAACCATATACATACGATTGTACAGCTTGATAATAAATTTGTTGAAAGAGTCTCTTCACTGAATATTGTGTTCTTAATTAAAGGTTACACCTAACATTGGTTTGCAGACTCAATCAAATAATTGATTTTTTAAAAAACTACTCACCTACAATGACAATCATTAGTCACTGCTTAACACTGTTATTAGATGATTGGAGGCAATCGAAAGAAAGTCTTCAACCCAGGTGTCGTATTCTTTTACATTCCGAGTGGAACGTAGGGCTTCAAACTAAAGCTCTGAAGTTTGATTATCAGCAGCATTATTTTTTTACTGGGTAGGGGGGGGGTTACTAGCCCAACCTTCCCTCTTTACCACGCTTACTTGCTACTGGCTGAGGTATAGGAGTGAGTCGGCTGGGAATCGAACTCTGGACCACGTGGGTGGTTGGCGCGAGTATTCTACCGCTAAAACACCGACACACACATGAAAGGTATTTTTCTCAAAAAGAAACTGACAATCATTAACAATTTTTATGGCTAAGATAACACAACAACCGAGGCACTTCCAAGCGTCGGCTAGGAACCTAACACTATGAAAACAATATCATCGCTATTGAAATCTCAACCTTAAAGTCCTACGTCCTAATCGGAACGCAAAGGAATGACATGAAAATGAATCATCAACTAATAATAAGGAAATAAATTCAGTTTCATGCTTGTTGGTGCTAATCTTCAGCACTGGGTGATATGGACTCGAATTTCAGAGAGGACATGAATTCCTTCAACGTTGCAGATATGCCCTGTTGACTGACGAGTACCAGTAAATACGAAACCTTAGTCAAACAGGGCTTCCTTCCAATTGCCTCCAACCATGATGGTGAACCAACTAGAATGATCGCCAAATCATAAACTTGACTGATAGAATTCAGTTTGCACCAACCCACCGAGGACGAGACGTATGACGCTAGTTACTACCCAGTGACCAAACAAAGTAGAAAAAGGTTAGGTGTGAGGCAACTTTCCTTCGTAAGAAAACAAACACCACCTCCGCTATCGAAACTTCAGAGCTTGAGGCTCTTTGCTCCATTCGGAACGCGGAGGAAACACTTCAAAGAAAACATAGGGAACACATTCAGTGCAATAAAAAAATATCTTAACATTTTAGAGAATGAAATTAGACTTATATTTTTATTAAAATGTCACTATAAATGGATCTTCAAAACAATAATCTACAGACGATAAAAGACAATAAAATTCTCACATTACAAAACAAAGCCAGGGATATTTTGTTGGAAATAATTTTCCAGTTTAAAGTAAAAACAAAAACAAAGGAAGCGAGCGGTAATTTTGTTCCATATTGTGTATGGGTTGTTTTTTTCACTTTAATGTATGAAAAAATAATCACCGAAAATTAATGATCAAAGGAGATAAGCGACAGTGGAAACTTTTTTTTCGGCTAATAAAATAAATGAACTAAATATAATCAGATTAGTTACAGGATTTCATTATGAGCTGGAAAATCAGTGAAGAGTACTGAACAGCTGTTTCGTCCTAATTTGGGACTCTTCATCAGCGGCTTAATGGTCTACGAGCTCACCTCGCAACCGGAAGCTCCTGGATTCGAACCCCGGTACTGTTGGAGAGTCTCAAACTAGGAAGAAACAGCTGTCTAGTACTCTCAACGCTAGTTTTCCAATGGTTCTCTAACCAATGTCAGCTCATGATGAAATCTTTGCAAACGAATACTTGAAATATAATCAGATGGGTTGAACCAATCATTTACTGTTTTCCGATCACCATAACCAACATATACAGACAGCACAATTTAAATTTTAGAAGCCTCATTCAACAGCTGTATGATGGTGATGATGCCAAGTGATGTCAATTGATTCACGACGGAAAACGCCTCAGCAAAGTCTTTGAAATGAAAACAGGAGTAAGACAAGGCTGCCTACTGTCAACCATGACTTTCCTGATTCCACTCAACCGACCGATAGCCGCTACCTTGACGTGGTGGTCAGGCTTGCACATCGCGATGACCCAACAAGATACACTAGCTGGAACCAATGTTCCTGTAGGTCCTACCATGCCAGGAAGGTTGTTAGGATAGCGATTATACTAAAACCAGTTACCGGTATTGTCTAAGAATCTTTCTTACACTATGCTGCGGGTCTGAGGGCGAAGTCGTACTGCTGGGAAACAGGGATGTAACAGCAGTAGGGTGTTTCTCTCAGATGACCAGCATGCCAGCTATGTTATCTCTCCACTCCGGAGAGAGGGGGTTAAAAAAGGTCGACCCCAAAAATTGTACATCCCGACTTACCCTACTTACGGTGGTCCGTAACCGACGCTAAGTTTACTAATACGGAACCAAATCAAGAAACCAGTTCATACAGGCCGTGAGTGACCGGCTGACCCCAAGCATTTGTCCCCTGGGCTCTGCGGTCACGCAACGCTAACCCTCTCTCTGTTTCAGGTACTCGAAGAATCAATCAGCTTCCACGGTGTGGGCAGCCGGGAAGTAACAACCGCCCAAACACTTCCAAAAGCACACGAAGCCTTCCTGAGAACCATTCTCTTCTACCCACATTCAACTGAATCAAGCAAAAGACCGTGCGTAGGAGTGAACAGACAAACATATGTTGGACGAATGAAAAGACGCTGGAAGATGAGGAACTCAGTGAGTGATTTACGTCTAATATCATACAAACTGGAACATATACAGGTGAAAACCAACAAGATGTCAGAAGAGACATTGAAGACAGTAATTCAAGTGAGCATAGAGAAGATACCTAATGAACAACAACAACAACAAGCATCAATCACTACCAATAGAAATCAAAGGAGGTCACTTTCAGTTACCCATTGTGGGCCCCATCATTTCAACTGCTCGCGGTACATAGGTGAGGATGTCAAATGCAGCCGGCAAGGATCGAAAAAGTATGACAGATCGTTGATCTGAAATCATTGTGAAAATCTGCTGCTCTAAATATAAGAAACAAGATCCGAATTTTCAACACTAATATCAAGTAAGCCACTGCTTCTTTATGGTTCATCAAAGACATATTCATCAGACTGCAGACTTTTATCAACAGCTACTTTTGCTGGCTCCATACAGAAGATCTGCGTTGAAGTTTCTGCAGCAAATCGAACATCGGGAAGGCGAGAAATACATTCATCAACCTGAAACCAATCTGCAAATCTTCGTCAATCAGCCTGCATCAACAACAAAATTCGGATTTTCAATACAAACGTCAAGTCAGTCAGTTCTTCTATACGGATCAGAAACTTGGCCAGTGGGTCACAAAGAATATTTCCAACAGCCTGTTGCAGACCTTTATCAACAACAACTGTCTTCGCTGGCTCTATATTCAAGATCAGATGGCCGGCCGGAAAGAATCACCAACAAGAAACTATTGGAACAAACAAAAAAGAACCAATCGCTCAACAAATACGCAGGAGAAAGTGGAGATGGTTGGACACTCGCTGAGAAGACCACTGGGTGACATCGCGCGTCGGGCCATAGCTCGAGTGGAACCCGAAAGGGAAGCGGCGAGTGGTTCGTCGGTGCAAGGGTGACTTGTAGAAGATTGTGTGAAGAGGACTTGGAACAGTATGGACTAAGATGGATGCAGGTGAAAAGTACAGCAGAAGACAGAAGCAAGTGGGGGCGTGCACTTGAAGCCCTATGTTCCATTAGGAACCCAAGGAACAATAATAATAATACAGAAGATCAGATAGCCCCTGTCAGAAATGATTAGCAGCGAGAAACTCCGGAAACAAACAGACCAAGAACCTACAGCAAAAGACTAAAATGCTGAAGGAAATGGAGATGGATCGGACGCAAGCTGAGAAGACTGTTGAATGGCATTATACTCTAGACCAGCCCTCCAGTGGAACCCGAATGAGAAAAGATGATGTAGGCGAGGGTTGGGTAGGAGGGGGGCCGACGTGGAGGAGATCATGTGAGGTGGAAGAGGAGGAGAGGAAGAAAGCTTATGCTCAATCGTTAAGCTAGATGATAAGGCCCCACTTGGATACCAAGGGAATAATAATATAATTGACTCACAAGACAATTCTTTAAATGATAAACTCAAATGACTAATCTATTTTTAAAATAAGAACAAAAATAGCTTCAAAAAAGGGCAGTGGGGATTAATAATAAAATATACGATTAACTAAACTAACTAACTAACTAACTAACCTGTCCACCATATCCAGAGTCAGGATCATAGGCTTTAAGAGTTAAAATTCGATAACCAACTGGAACATTTTCAAGCACAGACACAGAGTACTCCTCAGATGAAAATACTGGTGAGACATCGTTAACATCCTGGAAAAAGGGAGAATTATTTTTAAAAAAAATTTCGGTTAGAAATTATCCAAAAGGGGAAAACAACTTATGGTAGGGAATAAAGCTTTCTTTTTTACGAGTTTGATCACAGATTGCTATCAGTTAGAGAATCATTGGAAACCAGCATTGGAGTACTGGACAGCCAGCTGTTTCATACTAGTTTGGGAATCATCGGCAGTACGCACCCACCCACAGCAGGGGTTCGAACCCAAGACCTTCCGGTTACAAGGCAAGCTGGCTCGTATACCATTCAGCCACTGGGAACTGATTCAATGCCTCATGAATTCTAACTTCTACTAATTCGTGATTTAGTGCGACCCCAACCAATGTCGTCGGTGATTCTCAAACTAGGATGAAACAGCTGTCCAGTACTTCTTGTGGCTGGTTTTCAATGGTTCTCTAACTGATATCAATCCGCCATCAACTCGTAAAAAACAAAACTAATCCTTACAAACCAAACTATAGAAATTAAAGCTTTCCTTGGCTGGTGAGAGTTAAATAAGTAATTGTGTTATCTAGAAGCTCTTAGTTCTGAAATGTACTCAGTGCATTCAGCTAGATAAGATTGGTCACAGAGGTTTTCTGTCAACCCATCACGCATTATAACAAAGTTACATATTCATGTTACACAATCGGTCACAGTTAAATAAAATAATGAAATAACAAACAAAAAAATATTCACCGTGTCAAATGAGTTAAAACTCAATCAACTGGAACCGGGTTTTTCTCATATGCTGCCACACACATACACACACTATGAGGACTACTCATCACTATATGGCGGCTTAAAACTCTTTGAATCAGCATTTGACTTTTTATGTGTTTTTCGATTGTTTTCTTTCTACAGATTACTGAAAACGAAGTTGGAACAGCTGAAAATTAACCCATATACCTTTAGGAAATATAAATAGATACACAACTGTGAACCAATGGATAACCAGACTAGTGTAAAAAAAGCTGGATATAAATGGAATTAAAATTATGCTTTGATAAAAGGAAATATTACTCAATAACTAACTGACCACATCTCCAAATACAATTGGTGATGGATCACTCCTGTTGTGCTTGCCATAACCTCAGCAGGGGCATGAAGTGGGGTTCAAACCCGTAACTTGGTGATAGGTAATCAAGCATCTAATCCAGGGAACTACACAGTCACAAAATCATTTTTTAGAAAAATGAATACTAGCAGTGGAACCCAGCAAAGGCTGCACGTTTTGTCCTCTCCGGGACTCGTAATCTGGATGTACCTGCATTCCTCAGTGAGTGAACCCAGCGCACATCGTTTCAAACGCCAAAGAGTTATGCTTTATAGACCATTCGGGCCACAATAACTACCTCTTGTGCAACCAGGTATCGGTTATTATTTGTTTATAATTCAATCTTGATTGTCCCATTGATTGATTTGACCGAAATGTTCGACATCTTTTGACATGTAGGCTCCTAGTACAAACGCTTCAACGATGTCCAATCGATCAACGAGAAAATCAAAATTTGAATTTTAAAAAAACAACTGAGGTGACTATCGTGGCCCATATGGTTTAGTAGACAACGCTTTGTTTGGCATTCGAAACGATGGGCACTCAGTTCGAGTCTCAGTGAGGACACCATTACTCACTTAGGATTCCAGGTACATCCAGCTAGCTGATGAGCCCCACATAGGACGAAATCCTCATCCACTACATTACTTCAACTTAATACTCAGACATCTTCGAAGCGTCCAACATGTCAACAGAGGCCAGACATTTCAGTCCAATCAACCAACGGGGAAGCCAAAATCGAATTAGAACGAGTGACAGTGGATTTCGCGGCAGTGAACAAAACAACTTTACATTTAAATACATCTGATCAGGTATGACTTAATGCAGAATTTTCACTTACAGTTATATTAATTATTAAATTAACACGTGCTGCAAAACTCGTCTGTGTGTCAATCACCTCCAACAGGAGTAGATAATGCGATGCCAGCTCATAATCTATACGACCGCTTACTCGAACAATACCTGACAAATGCATAGAAGAAGAAAAGGATGAAAATAGATTTTTTCCCCGTTGTGAACATAAATATAAATAATGAATTTTATATAATGAATTACAACATTCAAAGCAGATTGAAGACGCCAACACAATGTTTTCAAAAACAAAAGGGGTCACATGCAAAAGACACTCTTCTGTTACAACTTGGAAGGACCATGCAAAAAGAAAAAAATACTTGAAATACAAATACAGTTAAATTTTGAATTTTGATTTCACTTCAATGTTTAAGTCGGAATAGAAAAGAAGCTGTCTGTGGTAACTTAATAAATAATTATTAGTACTTTAATTTCTAAAGTTCTACATGTCAAGGATGCTTACTTCGTGGAAACATTCTTCATTAAAAAGAAAGTCATCCGAAAAAAATATTCAAGTGTTAGTTTGCAAGGATTTGATTGGTTTCAGGATTTCATCATGAACTGACATCGGTAAGAGGACCATTAGAAAACTAGCGGTGAGTACTAAACATCTGTTTCTTCCTCGTTTGGGACTCTTCATCAGTACGCACCCACTGAGATTCGAACCTAGAATCTTCTGTCTATAAGGCGAGTTCGTTGCAGAAGTTAGGATTCATGAACCGTTGGATCAGGTCCCAGTGGCTTAATGGCCTACGATCTCGCCTTGTAACCAGAAGGTCCTGGGTTCGAGTCTCAGTGGGGGCAGCATACTGATGAAGAGTTCAAAACTAGGATGAAACAGCCTGTCCAATAGTCCCAGGTTTTCCAACAGTCCTCTAACCGATATCAGTTCATGATGCGATCCCTCAGGTGAGTGTAGTTGTGTTCTCTGAGCTGGATGATTTAGGTGCAAAGGTTTCATTGTCTTACTAGACAACATCTTCAGCGCATACTTCAATTCGATGCCTCCGAATTAAAGTATGCGCTGAAGAGGTTGTCTGGTAAGACAATGAAAGCTTCTCCTCAATGAAACCATCCAACTCATTTCATTTCGTCGTGAAATTTACTTCAAAGAGAAATGATTCACTTTCAAGAGTTGGTTTGGAGGGATTTGATTTGTTTCAAAATTTCATCACAGATTGATGTAAGTTTAAACAAAAAATTGAAAATCAACATGGAGTAGGCGGTAGGTGTTTTGTCCTTATTTGGGAGTCTTCATCAGTACTTACTCACGGCCATGGTTCTAACTCAGGGCATTCCGCGGCTACAAGGCGAAAGTTCGTATGCCATTTAGTCACTGGGACCCTATCCAATGGCCGGCCCACCAATTCGTGATATTTAGCGCGATCATCAGCCGATATATCATCGGCGTGTATTTGCTTGGAGTTCTAGTGAATAGGTCGTGATCAGTGGGATCCATCAGGTCGGATGTGAGGGAGAAAACTCGCTGATGACATTGGCTGGTGGTCGCGCCAAAATCATGAATCGGTAGAAGTTGGAATTCAGAAGGGGGCCGGCCATCGCGGTTCGGATCCCAGTGGTGAAATGGTCTGATATCAATCCGTAATCAAACGTGAAAACAATAGAGGCATTGTGAAAGCAGGCGAACACAAGAAGGGTATCCAATGCATTGTTATTTGTTGTTGTTGACTGTTGTTTTGTTTTATTTTTCAATAAGGAGGAGAAATCCAAACAGAAAAAACCTACTTGACCCATAAAATTATATATAGACATAAACAAATCATACATAGTATTATCTAAATAACAGACAAAAAAGACAAAGGATGATATATGCATGACCTAGACAGAAGAGTCATCCATATATATCCGGAAGATCATACACACTCATCATGAGAATAAGATCGACCACACCACTTACTTGATAAACAACCAACTTTCACCATACGCATACATCATCACCATTATCATCTCCACATCATAAAACGACGACATTATACAAGGGGGGGGGGCAAGGGTAATTTAAGCCATTTTAAGTAAGATTAGGTGGGAAGATAAAGATAAAGCAATTACTACTATAGGTACACAACATAAAAATGGACTAAAACAATAAAAATAAATAAATAATCCCAAAAGACAACAACAACAGCAGCAACAGCAGCTGAAAACACAACATTAATTAATCTTTCATTCTCTGGACAACAAAAGGGGAAAAAACGCCAGGTGCCTCCTCTCCAATATGTATAGATATGTATATACTGGGGTAACCACAAATCAACTACGAACAAAGAACGAATCCATTAGCATTATATTATAACTGTCCTTTGGCCAGTGACAACAACTAGCTGCCTAGCTAGCTAGCTGTGAAAAATAAAGCAGTAGTGTAGTAGAGAGTAACGAAGGGGAGGGGAGGGGAGGAGAACAACAGAGAAGTTAAAGCCACCAAGGCCAAAGGAAAAATTATGAGACTAAGTTAAACTATTTACTTACTGATGAAAAATTGTCTAGAGATGAACATTATTTACTTTATAATGTGATATGAAATACTTAGAAGAAGAAGCAAAAGAATGAAACTGGGGGGGGGGGGCTATACAACAGAAGGAATACACATAAAGTGAGTGAGTGACTACTACTCACTTAAACGACAAAAAGGGTAAACAAGTTGGGGTTGGGGGGGAGGAGAAAAAGGTTCTTTGAAAGTAAAAAAATGTAAACGATAGTTGACACAACAATAACAAATACAACATTGACAAACAAACGGTATATATAAAAAGGCGTAACACTAACTGACAGTGGGAAAGTGTTTTAGGGTTTCGCCACTTTAAAACACACTTTCTACATTTCTTTTTCCCACTTACATGTACCATTATTGTTATGATAAACTAATAGTGTTTTTTGCAAAAGAAAGAAAGAAAGAACGGTGAATTGTGAATAACAACAACAGAGAAGTTTGTAAGGATAAATGGCAAGCGATAAATAAGTAATACACTGTCAAATATGGCGGGCAAACGAACTGACTGTAAGAACTGTTTTTCGATTGGAATAATTTAAACAAGTGAACGAACTGGCTGATACAACTATACTCCTGATAAGAGATTACATGTGATGTGAAATTAGACAATAAAACATTTTTTTCAAGTTGTTTTAGATCTATCATTGTAAGATGATGAAATTTCAGTAGAGGCGGTAATTTTGTCTTTTTTGAAGCGGCGAGGTTGCTAGCCTCACACCGCACCTTCCCTCCCTCCTAACCAGGATTACCTACCCGTCTAGTGAGTGGGGTTCAGGAGTGCGTCAGCTGGGAATAGAACCTCTGATTACGTGAGGCGTGGTTGGAGAGCATTCTTCTACCATAGAAACACCATCAGTGCACACAGATATTGATATAGTCTAAAATAAATTCAGTCTTTAGTGTATCTAAATAAATATGAACCTGGAAAGGAGGACTCTGATGCCTGTCATATGCATCAATTAAAAATTGACTCAAGTTACTAGTCAGATCAGTAAGTCAAAAAAACAACAACAATAGCAGCCTGTTCAAACGGAGTAAGTCTCAAGACGTGAAATAAGATTTTTACCTATAGTATATAGTAGTAGCATACAGCTTAGATAATACGATTAGATTGATAAAAAAATAGCGGTGGTCAAATCAAAACACGGAATCAATTCATCAAGTACTGGACAGCTGTTTCGTCCTAGTTTAGGACTCCACTTCAGTACGCACCTACCGACAGGGTTCGAATCCAGGACCTTCTGGTTACAAGGCGAGCTAGCTCGTAGACCATTAAGCCACTCACTGGGACCCGATCCAATGGCCAGTCCATGAATTCTAACTTCTGCCAATTCACGACATACCGCAACCGCTAGCCAAATGTCTTCCAATGGTTCTCTAACCAATGTCAGCTCATGATGAAATCCTGTAACCAATCAATCAAAATCACTACAAACGAATACTTGAATATCAATTCATCAAGTCTTTGACAGTTGGTAGGGAGATGTAGATTGCCTTGGTTGAGGACCTTATCATGTTAAGAAGCAATAGCTGGGGACTATCAGTGATACTGGCTCGAAATCGTTGTCAGTGGTGCTGATGTCTATTCACTCTTTGTAATCTCCCAGATCTATTAAACCCTCATGTTGTTTCTTTCCATGTTACTATACTTTCTTCTCCATACTTCTGCTGATTATGGTTCTTTTGAATATCTTTATAATTTTCTCTACTTTTGTGTCTTATATGGTGTGTCAACTTGAACTACTCCACTTCTGTACAAAGTTCTATGTTGAAAGCCAGTCAGTCAGCAGCATACAACTTAACCGCGACACAATCAACTGTCTTAATTTTATGCAGTTCTATGCAAATATAAATGATAACTTTAAGTATGCTATCCAAGCTGGCCCAAACATACACGGGCGCGGATTGCATCGGATCGCATCGCAGGTAAGGTTACTAAGCTCAGAAGTAGAGTGCCTATCTTTTCATCCACGGTCTTCAAATAAAAGACTAATTGACTGACAGTAGATCCCATGACACAGTTCTATCTGACCTGAAGCGCTCAAACCAATCCACCATTATGATATCTCTTCTTTTTCACCTTCGAGAAATACACAACAGTTTGTTGAATGTCAATTACAAAACATTCAGGAGTACATTTTGTGAACCAAGAACACCACTCAGAAACAGTCATCTCATGTATTGAGATAAGCTGCCATCGAGGATAATGCATTTTCACATGTTTAGTAGAAACTTGTGAATCAGCAGGTTGTAAGTGTTTTAAATACTCGTCAGAGTAAACAATACTATTAGAGGTCATATTTTAATAGATTTAAACAAACTGAATCAGAGAAAAAATATATGACATATATTGATGGGAATTGCCGGTGGCCCAAGTTTTAAGCAGGCCGCGTCTTGAATTATATATACATATATATATATCAGTGGGAAATTATTCGTTCTCATTAAATAATGACAAGCTTAGTATATTTCAATGGATACACAACACCTGCATCACAACTATGATACGGTAACAGCATAATTCTGTATTCGAAGTAGCAATTAGTACTATCGTATCGAAAGTTTGTATAGACACAGAGGTATGGAATCATTAAAATGCTTAAGTGTGAAGCCATGAAAATCAAGGATGATAGATTACACTGTAGGGGAACAATTAATTCTAATCAGTCAACAGCACCAATCAATCAAGCAATCACTACAACAATAAGCTAGTCAAAATAAAACTTCCTTTCAAACTGGCTTCGTGATTTGATTCACAGAAAACAAAGTATCATTTTTTCCTGAAACTAATGAAGCACGTAAACTGACACGTGCGAAAGGGGAGCAAGACTAAAAACTAGAACACAAATAGGCATAATGATTGAAATACAAGACGATTGAAGACTACGATACAATTATCATGAGGTTAAATCAGGAATAGTAAAAAAACTGTGAAGTTGTGGTTATGTTTGGACGCTACGACTAATGTCTAGGGACGAATTAGAATAATCAGAGGAAAAATATATGCCATATATTATTGATGGAGGTTTTTCGGTAGCCCAAGTTTTAAGCAGGCCAACCCCCCCCCGCTAGCTCCATACTGAAGATCAGGTGGGCAGCCAAAAAGAACTAGCAACAAGGAACTCTGGGAATGAACTAATCAAGACTAACCTATTGGTCAATAAATATGCCGGAAGAAATGGAGATGGATGGGATACATGCTGAGGAGACATCACGCACCAGGTCCTCGAGTGGAACTCGAACAGGATACGAAGATCAGGGCGTCAAATAGTGAAAAAGGAAGGAAGCAGTGTGAGGAGGAGGAGGAGATAAAAGTTTCTAGGGGATGATGATGGAGCCAGAGCTAAAGAGGACTGCAGCCAGCAGGGTGAAATGGAGATGTACTGCTGATGCTCTGTGTTCTACTTGGAGAATCCAAGGGAATAGTAATAATATAATTGCTTAGTACAACCAGTGCTTTAATGACTGTTTTCATCGCTATTCTTTATAACTCTCTAGCTTGTTACTAATTTTAGTACATAAGTGAGTGGCATTTATATATATATATATATATATCATTGATTAACTAATCATGATAGTGATACTATATGCATATAATTGTCTGGTGTTATTATTATTATTTGACATTTCTACTAGTTCGTTGGTTAATTATATTTTGGTTTCCCTGTATATTCTATCCCGCCCATTCGCCTTCCTTCTCTTTTCTCTCTCTCTCTTCTACTGACAAATGCAGACATTACAAATGGTTATATTCTAACTCGTCTATGTTTTAATGACCTTTACTATTATTATTATTATTATTATGTATTAAAAATATACTGCTGAGGGATCGTCTGACTTTTTTTAACTGATGATGAGGCCCATCAATAACAACCTAATTGCTGCTTCTAATACTGTTAGTGATGCCCTATCATCGTCCACTGTTTTATTGCTTTCTCGATTGTGTGCATGTTTGGGAGGGGGGGGGTGGGTGAAGAGATGGTCTGTTTTTGCCATCAACAAGGTATTTTGTTCATTCAACCTTTGGGTTCTTTTTTTTCACTATTCATGTATAAAATTTAGCCTTTCAGCGTGGGTGTGGCAGGCGAAATGAGTAGGCGGCGTGTCAATGGATAGGAAAAAGAATGTAATAATAATAATAATCGTAATAGTAATAATATTGTGTTTTTTGTGGGATGATACTTTGGATTAAAACATTGTTGTTTGCCTCTAGTCTGTTACGTGTGTATGTAGTGTGTTGTTAACGAAGCGAACAGTTGTGTGTGTGCGTCCGCTTGTATGTGAATTGTCTTACCTGGTTAGATGGGGTAGTATGGACGGACATCATTATGTCTACGTGTTTGTGCAAGTTCATTAATTATAAGGTGCTGCTGATAGTGTTAGACTTATTCGCATCAACTGTGTTTATAACTTTCACACATTTGTGGGTTGTTTTTTTTCGATATCATAATTTCTTTTTTAACTTGTTATGCATTCACTTTGGGAAGTTGAACGAACGTCTTGGTGTAAGACTTGAAATTGTTGTTTTACAATTCGAATTCCTTTACTGTTATCCTCCCGCTCCTCCACAATCTCATCAATAATTCATCTCTTTTTTACAAGATATTTTTTACAGTCTCACACAGTATTTCATTGTATATATACACATAATATCTAAAAGATGTAAGAAAGTTCTTGTTTGGATGGGTTTATTCACATAGTCGTTATGTAACTAAGCTATTTATTACTATAATTATTCCCTTGGGTTTCGAGTGGGGCATAGAACTTCAACTACACATCTCCACTTTCTTCTATTTTCTGCTGTCCTCTTCAGCTGGCTCCACGATTACCCATAATCTCCTATCTCTTCCTCCTCCTCTTCCTCCTCACCACACAATCTCCTCCATGTCACCCTCACGCCGATGACCCACTCGTCGCTTCCCATTTGGATTACACTCGAGTGATGGCCTGCATTGCGCACGATATCATTCAACGGTCTCCTCAGCGGCGTGTTCCCGATCCATCTCCATTTTCTCCTACATATTTGTTGAGCGATCGGCTCTTGCTTGTTGGTTTGTCCCCTGCCAGAGTTTTTCGTTGCTAATTCTTTCTGGCGGGCCATTTGATCTCCAATATTGCAGCTGTTGATAAAATTCCGTAACTGGCTGTTGGAAATGCTTTTCGTGACACGCCAAGTTTCTGGCGTGAACATCATCCTGTCAGTGATTTACTGGTAGAATTAACCTCACCAGCAGTGCAAGTGGTTTGTGTTCGCTTCTCAGCCGCCGACGCACTCCTTTCCCCCATACAATAAACCTCACAAAAAAGAGGAGAGTTGTTAAACGTGTGAAGCTAGCGCTGTGAGACTTCAAAGCTTAAAGCCTGAAGTTC